GTTTTAACCACTGGGCTATGCCTCCTCCAGAGGTGGGACTTCATTTACAACAGTAGTGCCCATTCCGTTGTGCATATTCTTGGAAACAATTGGGCATTTAAAAAACAATGCCTTTTCTGCCCTCTAGCCTTTTATGCCTTCAAGCATCAATAAGTGTGAGGAAGGTTCCCAAATAATCAAAGAGAGGGAGCCACCTACAGTGCTGCTTTGAAACCTGCAATTTGGTACCGACTTGGCCAGATCTGGCTGGAGGAGTTAGCTTTCTTTTTGAAAAAAAAAATACAGATACTGAAAATTTGGACCATTCATTGTTTAGGACCTCTGCTGACCCAGAGCAAAGTACTTAGGACACAACTCACATTATTTTTAAGGGATGACTTATCATTCATTAAATGGCTCAAACTCCTAAAATTTATTCTTGTAGGAGTATCATTTAATAGAATTAAAATTTAGTCTCTGCACTTTGCTTAGCTGAACACTAACGGAAGACACAAACAGATAAGAGAGGGAAACTGATAGAGTTGCCATGGGAACCTGGTCATGGGTCCACAAGACCTACAGGGAGCCATCAAGAATTCCCAGGAATGTGGAAACAGGGCTAACAGAACCATCAGGACGCCTGCTGTGCAGAGGGCTAACCGGAAACCTGACATCCCAGTAGATAGCAAGCAACCTTCAGAGACTGACTTCCCCCCCCCCCCCACCACCCCCCCCCCCCCCCGCCACCGCCATAAAAAAGCCCAAGAAAATATGTCATAAAGGTGAGACAGGGCAAGCTAGGGTTATTAGGCAGTTTTAGGGACAGTGCAGGAGGGGACCTCTGAAGAATTTAGGGAGGCTTCAGAGATAAGGACAACCAAAGAAATATAACCAATTCCATTAGGAAAAACAAACATGCCAGGACCAAGGACAACATTGTTAATGCTGGTCCTGGTTTCCTTCAGGTGGTAAAGGGAGGCGGAGATTGGAGAAATGGAGAGTGGTTTAATTTATGGTCACATTAAAAGGGCAGCTGTTTAACTTCACCATAAATTTAAAGATGCAACAAATGGGGAAAGAGAAAGCTGTTAGATAAGGAATGTGAAGATCCCCACTCAGTAGCAAATTGAGTGAGACAGCCGAGAACTGACCAATCACAAAGAGACTGGGGCAGCTTTAGAATAATGAGGGAAAAAAGGTATATATTCCCTGAGACACGACTCTACTTTGGCTTCCTTGCCCCTCCCAGGCCTGGTTCCCTGGCCTGGGAGTCCCACTTTATTTCTGCTCTTTTCCTCCTCAATAAACTTTTTCTTTCTATAAACGAACCTGCCTCTTCTCGCTTGCTTGCCTGAGCGTCTGCGAAGTTCCTGCTGCGGCTTCGTGAGACACCAACCCTGGGGGGTCTAGTGGCTGGGACTCAGCGCTGCCCTGAAGCCTGAGATCCGTTCCTGGCTGGGAGACTAGACCTGACAATTCCGGTATCATTGGGACCCCCAAACCCCTCTTCCTGCACACACAATATCTCCCAACTCATCTCCTGCTCTCTTGCATGGTATTTCAATATCCACCTTTCTGTTCTCTACTCTGGTGAATTCTTTCACTTCCATGCCTCCAGTCTACACCCTGATTTTCCTGCTGCAATTCCATCTTTTTGTAACAGGGTGGTCCCCAGGGAACAGGGAGGTTCCAGGTTCACTGCCCCACCCTAAGAAGGGATGAGATGAGTAAGAAGGAGAAGAAGCTAAAGAGAAAGAAGGAAGAAGGGCAGAGAGAAAGTATGAGACCTGGAGGAAGCACATGGAGCAGAGAGAAATGTGAAAGAAGCTATGCTTGATTCTCAGCCTTTGACTTGTACCAGGGACTTGGGGGAATGGAAGGAGATACTTGAAACAAACATGGGTGAGAGACCTGTGAGAGATTGACAATGGCAGTCTTTATCATTATTTTGATTTTGCTCTTTTCCTTCCAGACTTGTCCAGGCCCTTCTGCCCCTTTCCAATAGGTCCCCACCAGAAGTTGCCTTAGACTAGTGGCAAGTTCTCAGGCCTCGCCTCAGCAGTCCTGCTTTGGGCCAACCCTGCTTGACTGGGCGTTTACCCCTGAGGGGATGGGTAACTTTGGGTGTTTCATGTGAAAACTTCTTTACCTATTCTTTCCCTTCTCTTCTCTTTATTGCACAATAATTGTATTAAAGTTCCTTTCCATTAAAGATCTTTCACACTAGAGTATGTTTTGTTTTGATGTGGCAGATGGCAGGACCTATTTAGAGCAGGCAGGTTTAGGAGTTCCAGGGTGCCCCTCACTCTGCCTGGTAACATTTTTAAAGCACTAATATCTGATTAGCCAGCATTATAGTTCATAAAGCATATAAAATATGAAATTATGTGGCAATTCCTAAAATATTTCACTTTATTTTATTAAAATATCTCAAAGTATGGCTATTAAACTATAAGCCGTCTAATTCCTATATACTTTCTATTTGAAGTAAGTCAAACTAAATTTTGAATACACATCAGAAATTTGCTTTCAAAAAGTACAGAATCAGATTATGACAACCTCAAATATCTTTTACTTCTAATTTTAAATATAACCACTATGGTGATATGCAAATATCTCATTTGTTTTTAAGGTAGTATATACTTTACTACAGCCACCACTTGATGCCACTTTTTAATTAATTTAATTAAATTAGAACTTGAAAAAAACAGCTCATATATTTAAAAAGACTGATCCACAAATGTGTGTACAAAGGAAGGTCATTTTAATTGGGAAAATGTACAGAAAGTACTAACTGCTACATCTCTGAGAATTTCTTAGAGTACTAAACCTCCTAGGCTTGAGGCCTGTTTTAAGTGTGTGAAGGGATTGGCTCTAATCTGAGGGAAAATATAACACTATCTCCTTCCCCACATCAAAACTCAGGTCACACCCAGCCCTGATTCCAATATCTGGTTTCCTTAGCTCTCCTCTCATGCAGTCGAGTTCCCAACTTACAGCCCTCTCACTCCTACTCAATCTTTGTCTGTGCTGCTGACACCAGGAAGACCTCTGGCTACTGACTCCAGCCCATTGACTGGATCCAACACCTTACATCTCACTCTGTTCTAATCTGAAACCCTAGCTCCTAACCTTTGGTGTCACCTTCCCTACAAGATCCCATGTTTCTCCCCTACTACTTTATCAAAAGCTCCATTGAGACTTCTTGTACTTTGGCCATCCTCAAGTATATTGGTTCAATACCTGGTCCTCTTCCATGTTAACCTATTGGTTCTAACAACCTAAGTAGACTTATTCCATATTGTTCTCAGAAGGAACATGGACTCTGAAGCCAGACTTTCTGGCAAATAACCATAAATAAGTTAATCAACCTCCCTGTGCCTCAGTTTCCTCGACTGTAAAATGAAATTAATAATAGTATGCCTACCTTCTATGGGTTTTGTGAGAATTAAAGAAAAATATTTGGAAAACATTTAAACAGTTCTGCTATTAGTGAACTTAATTTAAGATAAAAAAGCCTCTTGGGCCTCCCTGGTGGCGCAGGTGGTTGAGCGCTGTACTGTGAAGCTTTCCGCAGCCTCTGCAGCGCGGGTTCTATCCCCGCCAGCCGGCGAGAATCCCACATGGCGTGACAGACCTCTCCTGTCTCACCCGCTGCTCCCCTCAGCAGTGTATTTCGTCAGTCTGCCTGTTCTGTTCCCCTCTGTCTCGGGTGAATCCTCTCACCCTCCCGTGCATCTGGTCTGTACCCCGGTTCTTATATAAATAAATAAATCTTTAAAAAAAAACAAAAAAGATAAAACAAGCCTCTTCATAGTAACGGAACCTGGAAGAAAAGTTCACATCAAAACAATGACTTCACTGCGATTTCTAATTCTTAACTGGAGAAGTTAAAAAAACAGATCCCAACTTGTTCTATTTTATATTTAACCCATTCATTATAAAAGAACATTAAAAAAAAATAGGAATTGAAAGTGCTGATTAGATTTTTAGGTTATAGTAAATATTTTCCTATCATGATATAAACCTTTCTAATCCTCATGAGTTCTACAAATCGTGTAGACAGATAAACTCAGCCATACAGAGATATGGCTAGAGATCCCCTAATATAGAAGTGCAAGACTGAGACTAACTTTGGGTGGCTTTTAGAGTATTTGAGGATGTCAAATCTACATTATTATTATTTAAAAAATCTCACAACTTTTCATTTTCTTGTAGGTGTGGACACTAAGAGTTTGAGACCAAATAGTAAGCTCAAATCCCAGCCCTGCCACTTACTTACAAATGTTAGTAGGCAGACTAGTTACCAATTTAGTTACTTTTCTGTGCCTCAGTTTCATCATGTGTAAGAATAGAATAATAAGAATTGTTAGCAGTAAATGACATATTAGATGTAAAGTGCTTAGAACACAGAAAGCAATCAACTGACTATTGTTATAATAAAACCTCCAGTGTCTGTGAACATATCAGCTTCTCAAGAGGTCAGTGTAGGGTCATTTTCTGAGGGCCAGCAGGGCCTCCTCATAAACATTTCTCTCCTAACCCCCATTTGCTTGACTTTTCAATGTGCTGAGAAGGTCCCCAATGTGCAGCACTAGGCATACAGTCTTCTCTACTCTCCACGAGGAAAAAGGCCTATCTTCAACTTTCTCAGCACTAAATTGACCCCATGCCAAGAGAACTCCATAAATGAGCAATGAATAATTGAACACTCACACCTTTAGATTTTTAAGGTGTTTGAAATTTCTAGTACCTCATTAAAATACAAACCCCTCCAGAAACTCTTTAAGCTGATACTAACAAACATCTTAGCAGCAACTAGTCTACAAACAGCAGAAGGAAAAATGGTAACGGTTCTGTGCTTACACTTTCACACATTTCAACACCATGCAGTCCCACCATCACCTAACAAAAACAAAATCTGTCCATTATGAAACATGGTCCAGAGTGAACTCTCCGAAAAAAAAAAAAAAAAAGCAAAACTTACCTTAAAAATAAAAATAGGTTTCTAAAATACTTACCTTGCCTCATAAAGGAAAGAGCTTTTTCTTTTAAATTCTCTGTCAACTGTTTCTTTTTAGTCAGGTAATCCAAAATATATATGTTTGGAGCAAAATTTATCATGTTCTGTTCACCACAGCCATAAGGCATCCGAATCAGCGAGTCTAAGCCATTGATGGAAGAACCAAGCACATCTCCTAAAAGCACAAGATGTTCAAAACATTCAGAAAACACTCAATTCTGGCACCTGCTAAGACAGAGGCTTCCACTGAGTACAGAAGGAATCCAACATGAAAGTAATATGATTATTCCAAGTACAAAGCAGAAACTTTCTACCAAGCCTCTAAGAAGACTGTCAACTAAGGGATAAAACAGTGGTACTGAACTTAAGATTATCTGCTAAGTATGGAGACTTTTAGTTCAGATAAGGATACTGTATACAATAAGCAAAAAATAAATTTAAAAAATAGCTCTTAAGGAACTGACTGAAAAATGATAATTCTCACACAGAGTAAAGAATGGTTTGTTATTAGTATCCTTCATATAAATAAAACTTCATTCTTATTTCTTACTAATACACTATAAATATTTGAGATATGATTTTTTTAAATGGCAGTAATTATAGTGCTTTTCAATGTGTTCTACTCAGCAAAGTAGAACTGACAAGTACAAGCATTTCAATGACTCTCAGGATCTAAAAGGATAGGAATATTCTTCAAAGTTAGTCATATAAATTAAATAAAACACATGTGTAAGAGACCCATCTACTAACATTCTAATGCCAGGATTTAGTGGAATAAGAAATTCAGGAATATAGAGGCTAACTTCAAATTCTAACCCCACTGTGGTTGAGCTGTATAGAGGAGAATAACCTCCTATGGAGTTTATTTTAGAAGTTTATACCATTCCAAGACCATATGCCTAGTGAAAATCTAATCCTAAAAAAAGATCCCAAAAGAAATGGAGGGACTCTTTCCTATGAACAGGCCACTGCCACACCAACATACATATTCAACTTTGGATGTGAACACGAAGGTTATATCACTATCACTGCAGGTTATGTTTTTAGTATTCAAAGTGAACATAAACTTAGACCCTCAAAATTCAAAGAAGCAAGGCAATATTCATACATTCTGAGCTACCAGATAAATTAAAAAAAAAATACAGTAGAAAAATGAAACATGAACTATAATCCTGAAACTATGTAAATTTATAAACCAATGTTACTTCAGCTAAAAAAGTTTAGAAATAGACTTGCCTCTTTGTATGTTTATAAAAGCTAACATGAGATACTGAAACTATTGAAAGTTGTTATTTGTGCCAGTTATTTTGAGAATGGAGTTTCAAAAAAATACATAGAGACATCAAAATCAATAATAAAAGCTATAAACTCCAAAAATAAATAAAACTTGGGATAAACTTCTCTATATCAAGCTTAAAAATTAAATCTAGAGTACTTCAATGACCACAGACAGATTCCTCCCAATGTCAGAAGTTACAACGTAAATTTACAATTCTCAGCTTCTTCCCTATGTGCAGGTGTGGACATGCATGTGCTGCCTCTCCCGGGGTGCATGCTGCATCTCCCCACACCTCAACACTGTGACAGAAGCTTAGGAATAATTTATTCCCCTATAGAGAGCTTAATTCTTATTAAAAATTATACCTAAGATCAAAAAAAGTCCTCTGTAGAGGGACTGGTTGTTTGAAGTTATAATAAGAAGCATTAGAACTGCAAATGAGACTTAAAAGAACCTCTGAAAAGGCACCTTTGGTCCTGACACCTTGTAGAGCTAACAAACTATTTGGATATCATTAACTTCAACATTTCGTCAGTTGTTAAGTACAACCATATAAAAGACCATTTGTGTGAAAGCTGTTTCATTGTTCATTCTAAAGTGCTTTTAGCTAGTGGAAGGTGACAGGAGAGGGTGACTGAAATCAGGGGGGAGCTGCCTCCCATAAAGTTCACCAACTGCACACGGAGCAGCCCTACGCAGAGAATCTCAGCCTCTGGCTATCAAAATTACTCAGGGAAACTTTTCAAAATATATACAACACTAGCGACAGCCCAACAGATTCTAATTGAGATTCTAAATGAAGATTCTGATATTGACCAGTAGACAAAAGCCACAGAAGCCAGAAACTCTGCTCTTAGAAATTACCTCTCCCTGCATCCTATCGAGGCCATGCTACTCAGAGTGGTCTGCAAATCAGGAGCATCAGCATTACCTAGGAGCTTGTTAGAAATACAGAGCCCCATGGGCCTCCCTGGTGGCGCAGCGGTTGAGCGCTGGGCTGTGAAGCTGCCCGCAGCCTCTGCAGCGCCAGTTCGATCCTCGGCTGCCGGCGAAGGTCCCACATGGCACGCAGACCTCTCCTGCCACTCCCACTGCTCCCCTCAGCAATGTACTTCGGTCCTTCTGCCTGTTCTGCTCTGGCTCTGATGAATTCTCTCACCCTCCCGCGCTTCTAACTGTACCCAGTGCTTGTACAAATAAATAAATCTTAAAAAAAAAGAAAGAAATTCAGAGCCCCAGGTCTCACGCCAGACCTACTAAATCAGAATTTGTGTTTATACAGAGAACTGGTCTAGGAATGTATCTTGCCATCTTTCTCTTGAAATCAGCAGTCGGTACCAACTAAACACTTTCTACAATCTTCTCTCAATAGGACTAAATAAGAAAATACACCTATAAATAGATGAGGAATACATATTCAACAATAACCAGTAGTGGTAATGATGTACTCTATTCTTACCAATTGCAGTGAAATGAATTCTTTCACTACCACTCACTGTATTAGGAGGAAATGAAAAACTCAAAGCTTTCATGGTAGTTTGTTGGTTGTTATCAGTCAAGTCTAATAAAATGGATTGTGAATATGACTTTTCTATTCCTTCAGCCTGTTAAAAAACAAACAAACAAACAAAACAAGGAACACAATTAACATGGTCTCTACTCATTTATCTACAGAGAACTGTAAGTAGACAGTAATATAAATATCTGACCTATCGTGTCTTCAGTTTGTATATGGTTAGTTAAGTACCTACCATTTCCTGATTGTTGTTTCAAGTCTGTTAATATTTACTTTCTAGTTAAAACAGATTAAAAAAACTTCTTGGAATGTCAAGGCCCATGACAAAGGAGAATATAAAAAGGTGATGTGAGAAACCTTCTGAAGTAGTATCATTTATTATCAAAAGAGAAAGGGATTAAGTACAAAACCAGACTTGACAGATCAGGGATTTGAGCCCAGATCTGTCTCACCCCAGAACACAAGTACTTATCCACTCTCCTGGGTTGTCTTTTTGTTCAGAATGTCTTCCTAAAAAAAAAAAACTACAAAATCTCTTCTACTAGTGCTGAGGGATTACAAAATTCCCAGTCTACGTATCAACTGGATATAATAGGATCCCAATGCAACATAGTTTGTAAATGTAACCGACTGGAGCAGGCTTGCTTTAGAGTCAGACTATAGATTTGAAGTGGAAATTGGCACTTGCAAAACATGTATGTGATATATTTTCATATACAGATGAGAAAACTATCAGGCATACCAGGAGGGTGGAAGAAATGATCGACAAAGACTTGCCAGAAATTTAACCCAGAGAAAAACCACCTCTGTTTCCTTTCAATTATGTATTTCCATTTCATTTATTTGAGACTTCAAATACTTACCTTCACTAAAATCCTCCGGGTGATAGCATCAGAGGCAGCAGGTGAAATAGCTGTGATTGTGATTGGAATTTCCCCCAGCTGTCTTGGCTTAACTGGGAAAAGAACAGTTGCCCCATCTGCACTGGGAACCAGAATGGTCTGCTGGTGTCCTGTAGCATTTATTTCATTAGAAGTCATTAGGATATCAAATTGTTCACTTTTCTCAATGATTACCTTAACCTGGAAGAAAACATTATCATAGTTGTGTATAATAAATGCCCCTCAGGAACGTGTTATTTTAGCAACATTTTAAGTCCTGTGAGGCCCAAGACTAGAAAAAGATGAGGCAGAAAGATTCAGTCAAGGAAAAGATGAAAGGGATTTTAGGAAAAGCTTCATTTCTTTCTTATGTTTTCAGCAGCTACCCCAAGACAAGTGGGGTAAGGACACTCTTCACTTCCATTTCTAGTATTAAATTGCCACTAACATAAAATTTAAAAAGCTCCCACAGTGTTAAACTCTCTCAACATGCCAAGTCTATGAGTGGTAAGGATGGGCCCAGAAAGGTTATTTTGCATCACGGTATTTCCACCAGCCTGTTTTAAGTGTGTCATCTTGGAAACTGGCCCTATTAGGAAAAAATGAGACAAACAGGATGTTACTATGTTCACTGAGAGCCCCTGCTAAACACTTTCCAAGGAAACTATGGCTGAGACATTAGTTCTAAAGAATAGGCTGGTTATAAACCTTTGTAAAGTAAAGTAAAGTTGCTAATCTCATAAAGAATAGCATTTCTCGGGCCTCCCCTGGTGGCGCAGCGGTTGAGCGCGGGCTGCAAAGCTGCCCACAGCCTCGGCAGCGCCGGTTCAATCCCAGGCTGCTGGCGAGGGTCCCACATGGTGCGCAGACCTCTCCTGCAGCGCCCGCTGCTCCCCTCAGCAGTGTACTTTGTCAGTCTGCCTGTTCTGTTCCCCGGTCTGGCTCTGGTGAATTCTCTCACCCTCCTGCGCTTCTAACTGTACCCAGTGCTTGTATAAATAAATAAATAAATCTTAAAAAAAAAAAAAAAAAGAATAGCATTTCTCTGGGCATTGTACTGATATTTTATGAATTCTTTTCCCATTTTACAGATGAGGAAACTACAGCTAGTTTTTTTTGTCAGGTAAGTGATGAAGGTGGACACTGAATAAGGATTTTCTGCTCTTTATACCATAAATTTTGACTAGATTAAAAAGTAAAATTAAAAAATAAGAATTAAAATGTTCTCTGTAGTTACAGTGTTTAGAGAGATTATAGAATTCTCATGTAATGAAATGAATTACATGTTCCTATTACTCAATGTGGTGGGGAGGGGCGGGGAGGGCAGGGTAGAGTGGAAGAGTGGAGAGAAGAGGGGAGGAATCAATCATTTGGTTAAAACTACTATGAGCACAATACAAACAGTGACACTAATTCCTGTTTTCCAGGTAATTTACTGGCCAAAAAGACACCAGGCATATGATTAAAAAAACAAAGCCTTTATACTCCTCTGCACAGGAATGAAACAATCACTATAATGAAAAGACATCCCACCAAAAGGGAGAAAATACTTGTATATCATATATCCATTAAGGAGCTAATAACCATAATCTATAAAGAATTCATACAACTCAATAACAAAAAAAATAACCCAATTAAAAAAAGGGCAGAAGAGCTAAACAGAAAACACGTGTCTCCAAAGAAGATGTACATATCGCCCACAGGCACATGAAAAAATATTCAACAATCACTTATCATCAGGAAAATGCAAATCAAAACCACAATTTTCACTCATGCTGGTAAGACTGGCCCATGTCAAAAAAAAACAAAAACAACAAATATTGGCAAGGGTGTGGAGAAAAGAGAGCCCTCATACACTATTGGTGGAAATGTAGACTGGTCCAGTTCCTAGGAAAACAGAATGGAGGTTTCCAAAATAATAAAAGTAGATCTACCATATGATCCAGAAATTCCACCCCTTGTTATTTATCAAAAAAATACAAAAACACTAAGTCAAAAGGATATGTGCATTCCTATGTTTATTGCACCACTATTTACAATAGCTAAGCTATGGAAACAACCTTAGTGCCCAATGAAAGATGTGTGGATTAAGAAGACGTGGTATATATACATTATGGAATACTATTAAGCAATTAAAAAAGATAAATTCTTGTCATTTGCAACAACATGGATGGAACTAGAGGGGATTATGCTAAGCAAAATAAGCCAGAGGAAGAAAGACAAATACCAGATGATTTCATATGTGGAATGAATATATATGGAATATAAAACAATGTGGAATACAGAGAACAAAAAAAATGAACTGATGAAACTGAATCATAACAAAGCCTAGAAACATGACTGCAGAATGGAGACTACTAGAAAGGGATGGTGGGAAATGAACAAGTTGGGGAGGAGGCTCAATAGTCTAGGATAAAGAACTAAGGGTGCTCTGGTGTTGGATGTGGTGTGATGACATATATCTGAGGAGGTGTGAACCTAGTCCCCTGAATCATATAAGTGCTGTAAACCCATGTTACCTCAATGATTAAAAAAAGCTTAGAAAATAAAATACACTGTATAAATATGGGGAGCACAAATGTAATAGAATGGTGGGATGCCTCAAAAAAGGCATCTTAATTTCAAGTCAGGTCAGTAAGAAATAAATTCCTGCCAACTGTAGCAGGCACAGAATGTCAGTGAGAAATGACAACACATCCTAGAGGTAGGGAAGACTAGGAGAAAATACAAGGAGGCAAGAGAAAGACATGCATCAGAGACCATAAGGAAGTCACAAGGCTAAAGTGGAGGGCCTGTGTAGGAAATTAAGGAAAGAATGTTTTAGGCATGTTAAAAATAGCCTTAGACATTAATAAGCAGAAGAAATCACAAGGTCTATTTTCAATCTTCCAGAAATATGTGAAATGCTTAGATGTCCAAGTGCCCAAATAGTACATGACTCAATCCCGTCACATTTTCTCCACTTTTTTCAGAAGTATAAATGATTAACAAAATCTTACCTCCATGGCATCTTTCAAATAATTGAATATGGTTACTTCCAAAGCAAATTCTTCACCTCTGATGACAGAGTAGGGAAGGTTCAAATCAATGAAAAATGGTTGGAAGGCTTGTAACTGGAAAGAACAAAATTAATATATTATTTAAGTCAAATGCTTCACATTTTTATGTAACTGAAAGCAAACCTCATAAGACCTGTGAAGCTTAAAACTTCATTAGAAATGCTTATTAACAGAAAGTAAATACCATCTTATCCCAAATGAATGATGGTAAATTGACTTGATTTATGTTACTTAACATAATAATCACCACACTTTAATAAATACCACTAAGAGTCAAGCACTTTACACCAGCAATTTAATCATTACAACCCTATGAGGCAGATATTGTACTGGTATTTTACAGAAGAGAAATTTGATGTTCAGAGATCTCTGTAACTATGTAAAAGACCACATTATTGGGAGGTGGAAGTGCCAGAACTGGGGCAGCATGGCAGATACCAAAGCAAATTGTTCTTCTAAGCAATAGCTGACTCCAAACTATCCTGACCCCACTAACTACTTTAAAAGCCACTGGCCAAATCAAATAGCCCCAGTCAGGTGGAGAGTCTTAATGATATTCTGCCCACTACCTTCTACACATGTAAATGTGCACTTCCTCATTTATAACCAAACTTTGATAGTGTTGTCAGTACTGCAGAGAGGCTGAAACTCTCCCCTGCCTCTGAAGACAAATCTTGATCAGCTTAGGCCAATGACTCCCAAGAGCAGCTGTAATTCCCTCTAGAGGTTTATTTGGACATTTGAGGAGGGGCCTTAAGATTGTCAAACAGAGCCTCCCTGGTAGTGCAAGGGGTTAAGCACCTCGCTATGAAGCAATCCACAGCCTCTGCAGCACGAGTTCGATCCCCGGCCAGCCAGAGAGCAATCCACATGGCGCAGCAGACCTCTCATGTCTCGCCTGCTACTTCCCTTAGCAGTGTATTTCAGTCAGTCTGCCTGTTCTGTTCCCCACTCTGTCTTTGGTGAATCCTCTCACCTCCCGCATCTCTGGCCTGTACCCCCAGCTCTTGTATACATAAATAAATAAATCTTTAAAAAAAAAAAAGATTATCAAACAATTGCAGGATGATGTGGGCACGTACTGGGTGAAGGTCTGCAGGTTCCAGACAGTCCTAGACAAAGAACTGTCCCATATCCCTCATGATTCTTAAATGTTACTCTACATATACATGTAGGTAAAGTGGCGTGAATTTCCAAGCTAATTCCAATTCATATAAAAACCCAAAGCATTTTTTCAATGGACACCAAATTTTTCACTAAGACAATTATTTTGTAAATCAAGAGGAGATTGCACTTCAGTTTGCTTGTAACCTTACCAAAAGTTGTTTGAGTCTCAGAAATTTACATCATCACAGGCAACATCACTTCTTTTCAGTTGCAGAAACAATACATGTATAGAAACTGCATCTGCAGCTGTTACTTATAGGGTGATTTTATGCATGGCACAAACATTTAAACATGTTACTATACCTTCTAGTGTTGCTATGCCTATTCACTTACATACAGAAATACATATCATTTTATTACACATAACTTTCCTTTTCTTCTTTTTCTCCATAGTATTTCATTTAAGCCATCATATTAATTTAACTGAGTATATAGGCCTGTAGCATTTTCTGTGAATTACATTTTAGATGGTAAAAGTACCAAACAAGATATTTGTTATAAAAATGGAACCCTGGAATGACAGAGGAAAGACTACTGGTCTAACATTGGTCATGGTCATTATAAGCTTCTTGCCAGTGACTGGTTTAGGAAGTTACATATGATACAATCTAATGAAAGAGATGTGAAGGAATGTCTGCTAGGGGACAATATGCTAGGGGACACACAGAAACACTGTCTCTATGGGTCTCTGCAGGTGGGTGGATTTAGCCAATAATACACTTTCTTTCCAAATCTTAATATGGACCCAGTACATTCAACACTAATATAGCTCACATTCTAAAATATAAAGCCAATGAAAACAAACACTGAAAAATCTCTATGTTGTGATCAAAATTGGAAAAAAATATTTTTTTAAAAATCCATTCAGGAGCTGACACTTTCTTAGTTACATGACTTTATAAATTATAAGTAGTCCTTTAATATACTACCTCCACTGGAGTAGCCGTTAATCCAAGACCTAAGTCCTCAGAGATCACAAAAGCTGTCGCCACCCAAGAAGTGATAGAGTCAGGTACAGTAAATTCAAAATCTTGGAAAGTCCTGGAACTGAAGTCAAGATAAACATAGAAATCATAAAGTCAAGAAATGAAACATTTCAAAATAAGTCAATTTAAACTATTTGGGGGAGTATTTTTAATTGTCCAAATCCTTTACATATCTAACTTCATGAAGAAATCTAAGAATAAAGCAGTAAATGCCAAGTTCTCAAGGAAAATAAGGAAAAGATCATAACAAAGTCATAACACTGCACACTGAACCATATTCTACTAAAATCTTTCTAGAATGTTTAAGTCTCCAAAATGAAGATTATCTTCATAAATTTTACAGAAATAATAGATGTATTTTCAAACTTAACACATTTCTCTCAATTTGCATAAATGTTTCTCTCTAAATCCCAGTCAAAACTAATTAACTATCAAGGTTGCACAGAGCTTGTCAACAAAGCTGAATTCCTTTCACTGAATACACCCTGTCCCACTGTGGTTCATGGGAAAGTGGGGCTAAAGGAAGAAAGAGTAGCCGTGAGTGCTTCCCAGATGTATTTTCAGTAATTTTTCTCCAAAAGAACTATGAGACATCTGGGAAATAAAAATCATCCTTCATTAGAAATAGTGACAATACTCTCACTACCACAATTTGCATGTGGCTTTATCAAATACTAAACATTCTAAAATGCTAAACAGTTTAAAATAAAATATTTACATATGCTCAACATTCTAAAATAAAACCCTCTTGGTCTATTTAGCTCTTAATCACATTATGTTTGTACTTAAACATTAAAAAGAGGGCAAAACTTACAACTCACAATAAACAAATGTGACCAGAAAAAGCACTTTTTAAATTCTTACCCCATTTTGGTGTCCAGCCAAATCCAAGTCTCGGGAAAATGTTTTCTGACACGTGTACTGCTCCCCGAAGAAAAATCATTAAAATCTATTGGATACCCTTCATTTTCCTCCACAAACCTGTCAGGAAGCGAGTCATCTACAAATAAACATTGATAACTGTTAGGGGGAAAGTCACTGTAGAAAATGATTATAAACTTAGCTCACAGAATCAAGTCACCTCTCAACTCTACAGGACCATTGAGTTCATCTTACCCAATCCTTTCATTTTACAGATGAGATGCCTGTGGCTCAGAGAAGTCAACTGTTTACCCAAGGCCAGATGGCCAGTTACAACAGAGCCAGAACTGAAAAAAAAAAAATCCATGTTCCCCGTCCCCACAGCAAATACCTGAAAAACTACTTATAACTCAGTTGCTAAAAGATAAGTTAAATCGGGACCTCCCCTGGTGGCACAGCGGTTGAGCACTGGGCTGCGAAGCTGCCCGCAGCCTCTGCAGTGCCGGTTCGATCCCCGGCCACCAGTGAGAGTCCCACATGGCGCGCAGACCTCTCTTGCCACGCCCGCTGCTCCCCTCAGCCGTGTACTTCATCAGACTGTCTGTTCTGTTCCCCGCTCAGGCTCTGGTGAATTCTCTCATCCTCCCGCTCTTCTGACTGTACCCAGTGCTTGTATAAATAAATAAATAAATCTTTAAAAAAAAAAAAAGGTAAGTTAAAGCATATTTTTAAACGTGAAAGCTCCTCTTTTTCACTGCCTAGTGCTGATTACCACTGCTAATACCAACCTTTTTTTTAATTGGATATTATAATCATCCAGTTTACTGACTTTTTTTCCTAAAATAGTCAAGTTATCTATTTCTATTTTCTCTACTTTAAGTCTCAAGTTATATTTTTAAATAATTATACATAGTAGTTACCAAGGATACACAGACGAAAGCAGAAAGCTACACTCATATTCTATGGAGACTGAGAAAGAGAAAACTAAGAAGCATGATGGGTGATAACAGACACATGTAAAATGCCTATCATGCAGAAAATGACTGCTTTTACACAGAATCTGAATGATGAACCGATGATGATGAAAAGAGTACAGCTGGGGGGAAAGTTCCATTTTGCATTTGCATTTTCCTTAAGTCTTCAGAATAAGAGTATCTCATACAGGAAAGAGAAAGTAAGCTAAGTACAAAGACATGGGTAGACTATGACAATGAGCATTAGTTAAGAATGGCATTAAGATGAGAATAGAAACAATGGTTGGATCCAGACTTTAAAATATCAAATATCCCATGCTGAAGGATTTGGACATTGTCCTTTAAGTAATGATGGCCTATTGAATGTTCAAAATAAATTAGAAAAACATGATGTAATCCATGTTTTTTATCCATGTTGTTATCCATGATAACTCTGGCCTGTGTGAACAATGGGTTAGAGCTAGGGAAATGGAGACAGGCAAAAAATTAGTAGGAAGCTACTGCAGTGGTCAAGGAGATAATGGTAACAGCCTCAAGCCAAGCAGAGGACAGGAAGAGACAGTCTTCAGAGACAATTCTGCACTGTCTGTTGGCTGGATATCCTATGTGTATGCCATCACAGTCCTTAGCTAATGGTTTTCTCCATTAGCCCAAGATGTAATATCCATGGCCCCATCCATGCTAGACATGCAATTAATATCACTATGTATTGAACAGTGAATGAACAAACTGATCTGAAGAGTAAGATAATAAGTAATTATAGACTTATAAGTGCCATACATGTACAAAACATTTTGCATGCTTTTGGATTTAACTTCATAGAAATCCTGCAATACTAGTGATGTTATTAGTCTTATATTTCAGAGGAAAACCTGAGACCTAGAAAAGTTAATTGATTTGCTGAGGGCCATAAAGCCAGAATTCAAAGCCAAAATAACTAATGGCAAATTCCTTTCTTAACCACTATGCTATGACAGAAAGTGTTAGGAATTAAGGATGAAGTTTCTGATTTGGATATCAGAGTAAATGTTGATTTTATTCACAGAAATATGAAATCACACCAATTCAAGGAATCCTATGTCAATCAATTCATACATACTAAGGAAGAGCAAAATAATGAAGAGAGAGATCATAAACTTGTTTGTGACATATTTAATCTGAGATATTTGCACAGCATCAGGGTGGAAAAACAAAGGATAAAATAAACATTTGAGTTGTTCCAGTTTTGGGTTTAACAGAGACATGGAAGGACAAAGGACAATGGAAGAATTCTACCAAATTGATTAACCGTGTGGTCCATGCCAGGGATTAGAGGGAAATTAAGGCAAAAGGAGCTAAAGTAAGTCAAGAAACTAAAGATCGTAGTAAGACCAAAAAAAGATATTGAATAGATTTAAGGGAAGTGAGAGAATATATAAGGCAGAAGAGAAGGGATCTGAAACATTAGGAGTAGAGCAGCATTCAAGAGATAATATGACCTTGGGTAACTATTGTTATAGTGATGATCATAGGATAGTGGACATTAGCTGAATCAAGTACATAGATATTCAACTTCCTGAGGACGAAAAAGAGTAAGACTTTGAATCTTTTGTGAGAGTAATCAAGTTAGAGAGAGTGAAAGGAAAAGTAGGTAAATTTAAATGTTGATTTCAGGAGTTGTAATTGAAATTTTTGAGTTTCAAATAATCAGGGGCTATTAATTGAGGGTTTCTAAACAATGGTCTTATAAGAGCCAAAATACTTAACTTGATGTACCTACTGACTCTGATCACAAGAGAGGCAGAAAAATGAATGTTGGTCACTTAAGGTGTCCACGGATACAATGTGCTAGTGAGAGTATCAGGTTTCTTCTGTTACAGTATAAAGGTAGAAGGTTCTCAGAAAAGGCAAAGTATTTAGTAAGTATTACTAATAAAAGAATGAGTATTACAGTGGGCACCAAGATTAAGTAAAGATGGTAAGTAAAGGTGAACAGAGATGGGTAAAAGCTAAAAAACAGAAGAATGGAAAAGACTGCTAAAAAAGTTGTCTAGAAAAATGATTACCTGAAGAAAGCTAAATATACCATATTCTTTAATATAACAATATCATTTGACTTCATAAAACTGTAACACTAGAGGCTCAGGTATCTGCAGCAGGAAGAATCAACCCAAATGCAGAGAGTTCACCAGTGTATAAGTGAAGGGCTTGATTCCAAGGGAGCACAAAAAGGTGGAGAACAAAGATATTTCAAAAATATTTGCTATTTTTATTCAAAATCATTTTGCAAAACAAATCACAAGCACAAGCTTTTCCAATATGTCAAAAAATATAATTCCCTTCAAGAATAACAGAGAACAAAGCAGAAACATTCATTTCATAGACCCAGACAGGAACTCTGACTAATATTCCATGTCATAGCCCAGATGTATTTCTAAGTGCGTTAAACACCAAACATTTTGAGATAAGAAAACAGAAACTAAAAATCCCAATTTCAGTGCTCACCCAGAAAGTATCCATATCTATAGAAGTAATTTTAAATATCTAAGGTGAAAAAATTTTACTTCAAAAGCATATTGCTATATTTTACTTACAAAGAACATCGAAGGAATCCTGTACAAGGTTTGCATCCGTGAATACCCAGAGGCCACATTCCTACAAAGAATGATTTTAACTTGATTTTTAAATAAAAGTCACAGCAGTCTCCTGTACTCCTAACTCACTCTTGCTTATTTCTTATGCATAATGTGAAAATATTTCCTTTTGTTCTTTCTTCTTATTCAGAACTTAGGTATATACATGTCCAATCCCTCTCTATTTTCCCCAAATTACAAAAGCAAATAAAACATACCTTAAAGACTGCAGAAGAATCCATGAACATGCCTAAATAATATCCTGTGTTATAAAGTTCTAACTCTTGAACCACCTAAGGAGAAAATGTGTAGAATGAACATTTTCATATCAACCTGTTTTTTTCTCTGCAACATTTCCCATATGTAACTTAGATAAGATACAACCTACATTCTTACCAAATTTGAAAAAGAGATAAATGGAAAAATAATAAATATGTGAATACTTTGTTCATCAATCAACCAAAATAACACTTATTTAATCTTATTTTTACTCTGTTCAGTGATCCAGAGTTCCTAAGTCATGTAAGCTTGCATTTTGCACGGAAGGAACTTAAATATAACTGATCGGCAAGACTCATGTTTGTCAGAGACAAGTACTAAAATTTGATGGTTAATATAAATTCTGCAAAGTGTCAGTTAACTAGACATTTTTAAAACACAAAAGCAATTCAAAAAAGAGGAAATGCTAATAATTGATAAGCAGAAAATATTTAATCTCATTGATAGTCAAAGCGATGCAAATTTCAACACCAACAATATATATATTTCTTTTCAATAATAAAATACTTGCATATATCACATTAACAATGCTATTCTTTTAAATGAGTAAAATAGGCTTAAAGTAAGTAAATTGGCAATTTCTCAAGAAATTAAACACAGAATTAGAATATAATTCAGCAATCACAACTCTATGTATATTTACTCAAAATAACTGAAAGCAGGGACTCAAAGAAATACTTGCAGGCCAACTGTCAATATTCAGAGCAAAAAAGGTAGGAAGAAACAACCTAAGTGTCCAATAACATAAGAATGGATAAATAAAATGCACTGCATACATATAAGAGAATATTATTCAATTATAAAAAGAAAGTTGCAATATATGCTATGACTTGGATGAAGTGCACAATTATGTGAAAAAATGTATACAAAATCTTCCACATAATACATTATGTGAAAAAATGGCAGACACAAAAGGATAAATTTTATATGATTCCACTTATATGAAATATCTAGATAGCTAGGCAAACACATAGACAGAAGAAGATTAAAGGCTACCAGGATCTGGGAAATTGTTGCTTAATGTTTATAGACTTTCAGTTTGGGTCTGGAAATAGTGATGACAGTTGTACAACATTGTGACTGTATTTAATACCATTCAATTGTACACTTAAAATGATTAAGATGGAAAATTTTATACTATATATTTTACTACAATAAAAAAATTAAGATATTATACCCACATTTACATTAGCATTAACCAGACAAATTAATACAAAGGCGGGAATAAATGTCATGAAAGTTTCTCGGTACAAGTTTAAGAAACACTCCAGAGGTTTTAAATTAGTGCATATAATCACTGCTTATGCTATACTAACAGTCTGCTGCACCCACAAAAGCAAACGTGGTGATAGAACACTGTAGGGTAAATGAATGAATCAAGCTTTTAATGTCATAAGCCTCTGTGGCCTTCATCATGTTAATGCAGGCACAGGGCACATGTGTCTGTACATGTGCAAGTGTGAACACCTGAGCCTTAGAGGCCAGGGGTATTAGGGTGGTGTCACCCAGAGATAGACTAGGGCTACGAGAGGACAAGCCATATGACTAAAGAGGCAAGACCTAGAGACCACTGGGGAGAATGCCACAGACAGCCCAGAGCGAAAGCTTAAAGATTCATGGAGGGAGGCTGGGAGGCTCGGAAGCCTGCCTGTCTCCTAGCTCCCCCTGGCTGGCCTGTGTCTGCTTTCTTGCATGCCAGACTCCCTGCCTGGTGTGCCTGTGTACCTGGTTCCCTGAGAGCATTAAAGCCTGAAAGGTGCACCAAGGGGTCTGGTATTCTATCCATCTGCCAAATCAATAGTGAACCTGCCCTGTGCTTATTGGCACTACAAATAGGCACCAAGAGGAAAACAACGGAAAGAGAAAACAGAAAAGTTCATGTCTCAACAAGTTGGCAAATATAGTTAGCTCAGCAGACAATGGAGCCAGTGCCAGACAAAATGGAGAGAAAAGGCTTTCGTTTCACACTTCAAATTCTGCTGCGGAACACAAATACATGCAAGATCACCTTCTACTGACACTCGGGTGTGAATTGATGGAATTATCTATGAAGAAGTCTCTATCTCGTAAAGAAATCCTCCTTTGCTCACTGGCTCAATAAAAAGACACTTCCAAAGCTGCAGCATAGGCTAATGAGAGGAAAGTTATTCCTGGAAGATCTTGTACACTTAAATTATTCCAGGGCATTCAAGACTCTCAGCAGCATATACAAATTTAATGAGAATGAAAAAAGCCAAAATGGCCTATTATCACAAACTACTGACTCCCTCCTCCAGAGACAATTCTGGAGAAACAACAAAAGCAAGCAGGAAACTTGGAGGAGTTAGACCAGAAAAGGCTGGGAAGAGTGAAGGATATCTTGAACTACTGTGTTGGGAGGAAGTTGGTGTTAGAAAGCTGCGAGGAGAAGCAGATGACAGGCTGAGGAAAGGTTTTTAAATCCTGCTGTTTCTATTCGGGGGTAACCCAAAAACAGTCATTTCTTGTGATTTCACTACCAGTCAGGAGCGGCAAGCAGCAGCCCAGAATGCCCCTGAGGTCGCGGTGGTTGCCTTTCTGGTGTGAGAAAGTGAGGAACCCCTGTGGTATTGGCTCTTCTTCCCCTGCCTTCCAGACTCTCAGGACTGGTGGAACATAACCTCAGGTTTTCCCTAAGAGCTTAAAAGTAAATAAAATACGGAATAGAAGCAAATAGCATACAGGGAGGATCAAGAGGCGTTATCTACTCCCTGAAACTCCACTCCTCCCCTCTCTTTAAACGGCAGGACTTTTAAAGTCTGGTGTTTGTTGGTCTTTCCCAATAGACATTATCAGAGTAGCTGCCAAATCAACTAGACTTCAGATGAGAGCAACTTCCATAAAGGATACTCAACCAGGCAGCATACAGCATGTGAGGCAGAATATTGAAAAGGTCAGTTTAAGAACTGAAACTCTAAACATAGTGAATATACACAAGAGGATAAGGGGAGAAATTAGCAATACAACACAAGAATAAGAGGTAAGAACCAAATGAAAATAATAGTTACTAAAAATAAAATAGCTGAAATGAGAAGCCAACATAAGAGGTCAAAGTAGGAAAGATAAAGATTAAGTGAGCTGGATGAGTCAATTGAAGAACTCTCCCAAAGGAACACAGAAAAGAGAGTGACAGGAAATATAAAATAAAAATCTGAAAGATAAAGAAAATGGAGGTAGAAATTCCAATCTCTGAATAATAGGCATTCCAGAAGGAGGAAGAAAATAAAATGGACAAATGGAAATATATGAAGAAATAATGAATGTATATTTCCAAATTTACACTGAAGAGAGAATTAGATTGAAAGGGCAATCTGTAATGACACAGAACTATTTCTTGGCCAAGGTTAGGAAAGAAAGAGTGGACAGAGGTAAAGACAAAAAGGACAGGCAAAGAGATGAGTGCATACAAAATGCTTGCCTTGTTAGATGAAGTTACAAATATTAAAAACCTAAAGAAACCAGTAAAAATAAATATGAGTATGGCTCATGAGTTAAGGGAATCTAGCATAGGAACAAAAATAGAATGTATAATTTCCAAGCAAGCAGGACAAAATTTGATTTCGTCCATAGAAGAGTAGTCCAAGTTTGAAACTGTGAAATAAAAAAGTATAAGTAAATGCTAGTTAGAACAAGAATCATCATACCTATAAATGGGTTTAATAAGCTTATGAAAAGATGATCAGATCAAAAAAATCAAATTATAATAGTATGCTTTCTACAAGTTATCTTAAACTTTCAAAAGATGGAAAATAAAAAGCTGAAAAAATGTGCAAGGCGAATGTGAATCAAAAGAAAACTGGAACAATAATCAATATCAATATCACATGTTTGATAGTGTTTGACACCCATGAAATGCCATGACTTCTATCTTTCAATATACTCAAGTTCTAGACTCAGTGAGGACTATCATTATTTATAACCATCATACTATATATAACTAAAATAGAAACTACTTCAAATTATGTAAAGCTCTCTTTTCCAATGTCATCCAGAAAGGGACAAGTCAATTTCCTAGTACTCTCTTGAGAGTCTTAAATTATAATACAGGCTTAAAATGAGGGAAAACTCTAGGTGGCACTTCTCATGTATGGCAGCAGATGCTGCCACATCAGCCTCTTTCCAACGTAACAACTAGAATGCAGATTCTTTTTCACTTGGAAGCTTTACTGATTATTGACATATACATGAAAAGGAACTAACTCTATTTCATTTAGATCTGAAGAATGGCAATAACGTTTCTTTTTTTCTTTTTTAACATATATTTTTATTATTGAAAAAAACCACTAAACTCACATTTTCCATTGTAATATCATTTGAAGCATTCATCAGATTCACACTTTTGTCAACAGCTACAATCCCAACTACTGAGTCAGGTTGTGTCACAGAGATCCTAAGAGAGACCCTCTCAGATGGTTCAGCATTAGTTTTACTCCAATATAGATTTATCTAAGAAAGGGAGAAAACAGAGTTGAGTTATTCCACTAATTATATGGCTTACCAATTGCAGATCAATGACTCAATATTTAGCACATAGTCTACATTTGCTCAGCTGAGGAGTAATTTGAAAACCACACACAATTCTTCCCTAAAGGATGCAATATAAAGGCTACTCTGATGACTGCAAGTCATGCTACTTCTCACAGTGGCATAATTCTGAATTATTCTTTCACTTCACACATTCCTATTCCTGTCTCCAGGCACTGTCTCTCAGTCCTGAGTCCCTCAGACATCAGTGTTTGCCATATCTGAGAAAGGCCAGTTTCCCAAAAGGAAGAACAGGAAAGAAGAAACTAAAAATACCTATATTTTGGCCACCTGGATTTAGAAATGAGTACAGTGTCTCCCCAGTGGTGCAGAGGATTGAGTGCAGTGCTGTAAAGCTGTCCTCAGCCTCTGCAGCGCTGGTTCAATTCCCAGATGGCCGGGGAGATACCCACATGGCACAGCAGACCTCTCCTGTCTCTCCCACTGCTCCCCTCAGCAGTGTACTTCAGTCAGTCTACCTGTTCTGTTTCCCACTCTGTCTCTGGTGAATCCTCTCACCCTCCCATACCTCTGACCTGTACCCCAGTTCTTGTATAAAATAAATAAAATCTTAAAAAAAAATGACTACAAGAGCCTGGGGACTCAAAGACTAACTTTGCTGCGGGCAAGAGGGAAGAGGGATGTCTTTGCACAGGAGGAGATGATCAGACCAAACAGTAGTATTTGTCTCCATGAACTTCCCATCATTACATTCATCACAGCATGGTATTACTTGTACTCCTAAAGTAGAGTCAATCCTCTCATCACAGTTGAACCAAATGGCTTTGTCATGAAGCCCCTCCCTTCTAGGAATGTCCAATTGATGACCAGACTTTCCACAGAGCTCTACTTGCAAGGTACCCAATCTCACTATAAATATGTGATGGGTTAATTTCCAGACTAATGAAAGAGATAAACCAAAGACCAGCTCTACTTCCACACATCACTACAGACAATAATGATTCCCACACCTCTCAATTCACCCTCACACCAATATCAATATCATACAAATTGTATAATGTCAGCAGGATTCCACACCAGAACAATACTGACTCAAATATTTCAAAAATTTTGAAATAGCTTCAGGGATTTGAGCTAAGGTCTTAAAGTCAAGAAACACACTGTACAAAGAAGACTCAAAATGACAATTAATTCCACATGGGAAAATATTTATGTAGTAAATAAATATGAAGAGGTTTAACCAGTTCTAGAAACAAACATAAATTTCTAACCAACTTAATGATACTTTAATGTCCAATAATTCTCTTCTGAAGAAATATTACACATCTCAGATTTCACTAATAGTTTTATTTTAAACATTGTTACCTTAAATCTTACATTATTTTATTTTTATGAATTTTTTATTTAATTTTTTATTTGGATAATGTTGTTTTACATTTGTATTTTGGAAGTATAGGATCCGCCACATTAGCTGTTGTTTTCTTAGCACACCCACCACCATCGTACCTTATTTTTAAAAACAAGCTGAATTGGAATGTTTAGAACATCATTTATAATTTCCCCATCATCGTCAATATAATACACAATTATACAGGCTTTTGGAGCCCAAGAATTTTCTGGTGTTAAAGAGAAGGTTGTTGAATGTTGTTTGCCTACAGCAACCAACTGTCCCCTGGATACTACCTGAAAAAAAAAAAAAAAAAGACAAACTTACTTCAGTGCATGCTAAAACTAGTGAGAATCTCACCTGCAGTTAAATTTATCATAATTTTAACCATACACATAAATTTTTGACTTAAACCACCATGAAAGCCCTTTTGTATGCTAAAGAAAACTCCCCAGACCAACAGAGTATAAACTGGGAAACAGAAAAGGATAAAATAAAGCAATCCTAATAGAGGAAACAGTCACTTCACACTCAAAAAAATCTATTTTTGAGTGGAAGGGATGCAGGGCACCACTGGGAGAAGTGGATGGGCAAAATTTCAAGGTTGCTAGCAACTTTTTTATTTTCTTTTGTGTTTTTCTGATTGTTTATAATTTGATACAATGAACTTATGTGGTTTATCTCATATAAATTTAAAATTTAAACATAACATAAGATGTAATTATCCATCTTAAATTAGAAATGAAAATACAAGTGAAGAAATTAAAAAAAGATATTTTGATTACACTATAAAAAGAACAGGCTAAAAAAGGGTGTGAAGCTGAATTTTTTAAATTAGTAAGTTTAGTCTAGACATAAGGTAGATAGCAATTACAATGCTTCTATAATTTATTCTGTATGGTTCTATAAGATATTACCATGTAACTTAACTCCTTCAATGGTTTGTTGCCATTAACCACCAACTGAAAAGGTGATCCCACCTAGAAAAAAAATCTTAATTAATACATACCTATTAATGGCAAAAACTATAATTATATAATAAATATAAAATGATTGTAAGCTTTACCTTTATATTTTCATCTTTTGTTCTCAGCTGGATATATGTATTACTAGGAGACTTAAAAATGCTATGAACTGCCAGGTTACGCACACTCTCAAGAAAAGAGGCCTAGAACAAAAGAAAAGGGACAGGTAGATTTTCCTCTTAAGTAACACCTTGAGAAAAGAAGCTACTATTGAATAATTAATTGAAAGGCAAATTCACTTTTACTGTTTTATGCAGGAAAAATACATTCCCCACACATTGGAGCTTCATTTTATATCTTATACCACAAATAAACCGATAGCTTTAACACAAAGAAGAGGGTCTTCATCATAATCTAAGAGGAAAAAAGCATAGTCCTAACTTATTTCAGAAACAAAAGTATATTATCAGGAAACACTTAAGAAGAGAGAATGAGATGTAAAAGGAATCTTTTCCTTCTCTTTACAACACAGATCTCATTTACAAGTAAGAAATCCTAACACCCCATTGATCCACAAATACTCAGAGTAAATATCAAAGAGGTGACACATTTGGAGGGCTGAATAACTAAATACATATATTTATATAAAACCACATATATATATATATGAAACCACATATATATATATATAAAGTCATAAATGGCTGGGGCATCTCAGAAAAGCCACAATGAGAAAGAGAACTCAGCAAAAACACTGTGAGCAAACAAGAAAAAAAAATTCCTCTTTCATCTCAGCTTCTGCCAAAATACAATTTCAAATGATTGAAACTCAATATAGACTGAGAATTAGAGGAACTTCATCATATCTTTAGATTGTTATAATTTACTGTCATATCTACTGTCATTTAATTTACTGTCCTATTACTCCTAATTTGCCTCCATTTTTAAAATTAGAAACATGTTCACTTCCCGCACACTTTGACCTCCAACACACTGGGTGCCCACCACAAGATTACAACTTTAACCCTGTTGTTGAAGTGACATAATGATGGGAAGCAGCACCTTCAATAGTAGCTCACTGGAATCTTCCAGGACTGGAAATTCAACCTTAAAGATTCCATTCTGGGGGACAGTATAATTTATGATCTGGAGAGTTTCTACTTCCTGATTTCTACTGCTCCATCCATTCCAGTAGTCGGTATCATTTCTCTTTACCACCGTAAGGACGACATTATTACTTCTTTCTTCAGGAGTGAGTAGATTGCCATCAGTGCGAATTACTTTCACCTAATTATCAAAACATGAGGATTTAAAAACAGGTAACTAGAGAAGTAAAGGATTTAAATTCAGTTAATTTCCCTCTGTGCTATTCCCATGAAACTGAACTCTCAAAAATTATTGGTGTTATCCAAACATTGAGGTCATGTGTTCTTTTTCTAGGAGACATCCAACACTACCAACCACTTCTTTTTATTAATGCTTTCTTTTCCCTTCCACAGCTCTACATCAACCTCCATTACTTCAGACTCCTCTTTCTGTTTCCTCTCAGCATCCTTTTTGACCCCTCTTCCTTCTTCCTAAATGTACGAATTTGTCAAGACCATTTATCTGTTTTCTTTGTTCCTCAAAGATCTCAGCACTTCTGCTATTATCCTTACCTAGCTCGGGAGCTCACACTCAACATCTCCAATCTGCTGCAAGAAACTTCTTGGCTCTATATCCTGTCGTCTCAACTTCTGTCCATCTACATGTGAGCTACCATGTCACGTTTCCTACCACAAATTTTGCCAGAGCTGACACCTCTAAATATTCCCTCCCTCTTCCTACCTCCCAAATCCAATGTGCATCAAGTCCTGTACTACTCTCTCTTTTCCTCTCCACTCCCACATCCTCCACCACAAGGGCCCTCATTGCCTCACACCTGAACTGCTCTCAGTCTCCCCACACAGCACTGACCCATGTCTCAGGAAGGAATTTATCAGACTGCTTTTGACATAGTCCTCCCAGGCTCACAGACTCCTGACTCCTCACTACCTAGACTATAAATTCCAAAAGTATTCTGCCTTGTATATAGCATTCACCATGCTGTCTCCCACCCCTACCCAACATTTAAAATCCCACTGATCTTTTAATAAATTAACTTAAACCTTGCCCATTCATGTAGCATCCCCTAATGATCTTCATCCCTTTTCCAAAGCCAGCTCTTCCTCCCTGAACTCTCATTCTTTCACGCTCCTCATTTAGAAGTTACCATTAGCAGTCTTGTTATTTCTTTTGGATTTTGGCAAAGGATTTTTTTTGCGGGGGGGGGGGCGGAGAGAGAGGAACATTACTTAAATAACAAAAATCACTGAAATGAGAAACTAAAATTTCTCTTGATTCATTCAACAAGTTGTGATGCCTCCTTTCTTTAACCAGGGGTCAGCAAATTATAACAGGCAGGGAAGCCAAATTCAGTCTTTTTGTAAATAAAGTTTTATTAGCTCATTGCCACCCTCTCTTGGTTACAAAATGATGGTGGCGACCTTCCCACTACAGTGGCAGCTAAGTAGTTATGACAGACACCACATGGCCCACAAAGCTGAAAATATTTGCCATCTAGCACTTTGCAGGATAAGTTTGCCAACCCCTGCTTTACAATTCCTATAGAAGTTTATTCATAACACTGATGTTATCCTGCTTTGAATATTCTGTGTATATTTTCTTGTCATTACCACAAAAACCATGAATCCAGGAAAGGAACTCAATAGGGTTCCTCCTAGCAGCATGCCTTGCACAGTGTCATATCTCACTCAATTAATAAGCAATAATTCAACATTCTCTCAAGAGATGAGAAATTTATTGATGAATTTTTAAAGCTACATCTTCTAAAACTAAAATCAGTCATAATAAAAATAAAATTGAAATCAAAACTTTTTGACTACCATATAATTTCTTTAATGAATTAATAAACCTCAACGTAGCAATTCAAGAAATTTATTAAATGAATGTTGAGAGAAAATATTCTTGTTGGAAACTACTTCTTTAAAAAAAAAATAGAGATCATTTGGAAACAACACTATATATGCCTAATATATCTAAAGGGGAAAGTAATCTACCAACTTTGGGCTTGAAAATCACTGAAAACAATATAGCCCTTTCTGCTTCATTAAGCTGAACTTACTGCTATAGACCATTAATAAAAATGTCAACTTACAGTGGCTGTGAAGTTGAGAGATGGCCTCAAGACTGTAGTATAATCAAAAAACTCAATAATGTAATCATGTTGCTTGAAAAATACATTGGAGCTTGCATTTCTTGAGATGCCTGTTTTGAGAATTATACTATTTAGAACACAAAACAAATATTTCACCAACAGCTTAATTCCACCAAATCTTTCCACCTCCACTATACTGAGACAAGGGATTAAGATATTTGGACACATAAGCTTCATTCCCACATTTGTGTGGCCACTAAGAGAGCCATACAATTCTATTACATCCTCAATGGGCTGATCTAAGCATTATCCCCTCTCAGTGACATTTGTGCCATTAGCCAAGGCCACTGACAGAATAGTGTTTTGCTCCTTTAGGACTAATGAAAGCTGCTGAAACAGCAACAGAAAGGTCCAAGTATTTAAACTTTGTTTTATTATTAAAAGAGACAACTGTTGAGGAATAGTAAAATTTCAGAAGATATTAAGTGATTAAAAAGATTTTTTTTAAAGATGGTTAGTCCACTGACAAGGTATGCCTTCCTACGTAGTTTTCAGCTTAAAAACTAAAGACTAGAATGAAAAAATTACAAATACCTATCACAAGTGGTTGAAGTACAAAGTAAGTTTCCTCTTCATTATGAAAATGTTCAGCAAGTTAGGCTAACTAGTAGTCATGAGTAACAATCTCAGCATTAAATAGCATCCTTGAAAAGGCATAGAAGCTCCCAAATGAACGTTCTGGTTATAATAAGAAAGAAGGTAGAATGGCATCACATAAATAGCTTTACCTTCACTTCCAAGTCTACAAACCTGTAAGTGATTCTGTGACTGTGGCTAAAATTTCTACTGGTCCAGGGGAAGAAGACACATGCATGTGTGCAGAAAACTTGTCTGAAAAATCCATTACTTTTTTCATCTCTTCATCATTAAAAGAGAAGTCTGCAGATCCATTAATCTGTTTTGTTAAGAAGTCCAATTTTATTCTTCACTTTAGCAATTCAAATTGTAGAAACAAAACTGGAACTAAGTCACAAAAAATTTATAGTGGTTCTGGTTCAATTTTTATCACTATAAATGGATAAATTATCATACATCTGATGCTGGAAAACTCAATTTTCTTTCACTCAATTTTTTGTTAATTCAGGACAAAAATCTCATTTCTAGAAGTACATATATATATACATTTTCCCTATAATGATTACAAGATACGTGCAAAAGTTACCTTAAATTTTTTTGTAATATTTTTCTTCACCCCCCAAAAGGATAAAGGTAGAAATGTAAGTGTTACATCTCCTTTCACTGGCTTTCCATATGTATACCTGAAAAATAACCGTTTTTAATTTTCAATTTGATATTTTCAAAATAACACAATGAAAGTATTTTTTCAATGCTATACACTAGCAATAACTTAAGAGTTATATTAAGAATACATTCTTTCTACAAAAAATTTTAATTTTTAAACATTTATAGCTAGGAATATGCTTACTAAATGATATTCCTTCATTCAAAATGGAAACACTTTTAATCGCAATACCTCAAAACAGAGGCCCACAAAAAAAAAAATCATAATTGGAAATGACAGTTTCCTACACAAAGATTTTTTAAATATTATAAAAATCTTTTATTCTCCTAGAAATCAGAACTGGCCCATTAACTGCAGACCTCTGAAAACTTCACAGTATTGGGACATTTTTAAGTGTTAGCTAAAACTGCAATCATTTTGGCCAACTGCTGCGCGTTCCAATACTAATCAGGTAGGCTTATAGACCAAACATTCTGGAACAACAAATGTGTTCATGACTATGAAAAATTGGCTTTTTAAAGGAAATTTTAAAATAAGAATACTTTTTTATCTATAGTACCAAACTTATCTTTTTTGTGTCAAATCTCATTCTTTGCTACTTTGCACTCTATGTATATTAATTTTATCCCCTGTCATGATGAAAAAAGTCTCTCTATGTGAAGGAGAGTCAATCTTTAATAAACCATTCTACTGCCAGAAAGCCTTTTTTTCAAATGTGTCTCCTGGATTTCTTCCATCTCTATTGGAAAATACTGAATCAAACGTCTAAGTCAACTTTGCTTTGCACTCTATATAAATCTAACAGTAAATTCCTGCTTCCTGAATCCATTAGTTACAAACAGAAGCAGCCCCTTGTCTGGATCAACTCAATTTAAAAGCCAATGTGAAATATAGCATATTCAAATTAAGAAGAATAAAGCAAACCCATCAGATGTAGCACCCTTCCAAATAAAAACCGTAAAGTTAGCAGAAACCCTAGTTAGCAACTTTAGGATCCAATTCATTCACTCAAAAGAGAATCCTCAAAACTAGATATTGTTTATACCTTGTTAAAGATTAAATAAATGCAGTTTAGAATATCAAAACATTTAGAATATCAGAACAGTTAGAATATCAGAACATTTATTTTAAGAGTTGTATCACATGATGGGGAGCTTGAAAACCAAGACATAGTTTAAAGAATTCTCAGACAAAAATATTTTTAATTTTGATTTAAATGTGACATAGACTTAGCTTCCCAAGCATCAAGCTTATGATAATAATTGTGAAACAAAATACTAACAGTTATTGTCCTAAATAGAATCTGGAAGCATTTGGGATAAACTATTCAGAAAATAACGGCATGACAACATTTAAAAAAGCAAATCAAAGATATTCTCAGATAGAATGATTAATAAAACAAGAATTTTCTTCAGAAAATTACCACAGCACAAAACGTTTACAAAATGATACCTAAAAATTGAATCTATCAGTATAAGTCAAATTTCTCCCCACCTTTTTTTCCCAAGTCATTTCCTGTAATATAAATATGTTGATTTATCAATTAATGAATATGCTGGAGTAAACCTTAAATATTATTTTTAAAATACTACTGTCCCAGGAGCTATGGAAGTAATGAGACAGATGCTATGTCACTTCTTTATAATCCTCTAGCACCCACTGTGGTTAGTGGGAGTCATTTATTTTAATAAGGTGGGAATAGTAAGCAGATGTTCACATAAAAGCTAATAAAGAAATGCAAATTTTTATTCATCTCAGTAAAAGATTTCAAAACTAAAGAAGACAGTTAACCTTTTCTGGAAAATTCCCTGCAAGGCTCTGCACATTAGATGGGACAGACAGCCACTATCATAGAGCAACCTAAGTGGTTTATCAGCCACTCAAAGAAATTACTATTATGAAATTGATATTTTTAAAACCATTTCTATAACTCAGTAACCACCATCCAAATGTTAAGACAACAGAATTTATCTTTCAAAATATACCAAAGAACAACTGGGATCCACGTACCACTGTCTACCCCTAATTTGGTGAAAAGACCAAGCCTATTGCCCATACAATTCAATTTTGTTCACTCCAAATAAAAGGCTTTTGATTGGGTATGAAAACCTCTGCTGTGCCATACATATATAGCCTGGAGCTGATCTCAGGAATCACATTGTTTATCTTATTCTTTCATTAAGTATTTATTGGATACCTACTCCAAGGTTCAATAGATCCAGACTCATTCTCAAAGAAGTAGTACTAGTGAACAGCCGCACTGTATGACTGGCACTTAAATCCATGTGGCTAGCCCCATTTCTGTCTTGAGAGTCAGACTCTCAGGTCTCACTGCCCACTAGATATCTCCTACTTAGAGAATCCACAGCAGATACTTTAAACACTTTGTCTTCTGGTATAAGGATAGAGGGTGGGGGCAAGTAACTAAGTCTTGACATTGCTATGTAAAAGACTAATGGTCAGAAAAAGCATTTTTGCCTTCTTGGAAGCACAAGTGAAATTTGGGAGTCGAATTTGTAAAAGCTGAGAAGGGACTGAGTGAGATGCTTTAAAAGACATGAACTCAAAAAGAATGCTGTAAAATATACCAAGGAATTTGAAGTTTTCCCTCAAGGCAACGGTCTGAAAACTTTCATGTGAAAGATTCATAAAAACAGATTTGCCTTTTAGTCAAAACAAACTCTGGACAGAGTATAGAGAAAAGATCTGAAGAAGTTAAACTGGAGTCAGAAAAAACTTAAGAAACTATAACAGTTAAGGAGAAAAAAGATGGTATCGGTCTAATCAAGGAAATAGTAATGGAGAAACATGGATGAGAGATATTGGGGAGACAGAAACCATAGCAGTGTTTACTGGTTAGGTATGGGGATTGAGGGAATGGGAAGCTGACTTAGGCAATGAAATAGATAGTGGTGGACAGTGAAATAGATGGTCCCTCAAGATAGGAACAAGGACAGGTTTGGGAGAAGATAAAGTGTTTAAAGTACTGTGGATTCTCTAAGTAGGAGATACCTAATGGGCAGTGAGACCTGAGGGTCTCACTCTCAAGACAGAAATTGGGATAGCAATATGGATTTAAGTGTCATCCAATTATACTGGCAAATGTCCTGACCATGAAGAAGAAAGTTCTGATTAAATGTATAAAGAAAGAATAAAGCCATAGATGAAGACCTGAGGATCAAGAATTTTAAATACGTACAAAAATAGTTGCCTGCAAAGAGTCTCAAGAGTTTGAAAGGAATAGCCAAAGGGAAATGAGAGATTTCCAGGGCTGCAAAAGGGAGAAAAATTGTAAAAGCCTCAAAAAATATCCATAAGATGAAGAAAGAAGGAGGCCTTTGTGCCCATGGTGAAGGGCAGGTAGGAGGGGCCTGAATGGCAGGTGAAGACGTGGAAAATGCAACTCATCTTGGCTGGGAAGAGGCAAGAGATAGGACAGTAGCTGGAAGGAGGCATGGAAGTCAAGTGAGAGTTTGTGAAATCAGAAATCTAGCTTGAAGGGGTATGAGGAGCATTAGAAGCAAGCTCTATACACATAGACTCATTCGGATCTGCAGAGATGGATAGCTTCAGGTATCACTGTACTTATAAATAACAAGTCAAGGGACTGGGGGCCAAGAAAGATCTCTTTGTTGGATATACTGCCCAATGGTGGCTTTGAAAAGAGAAATGGAAAACTGCTGCTAGAGGAACCTGTTTATTCTCAGCATCTAGATTATGTCAAGACTTAAAGCAATGTAATTTATAGTTTTTTGGATTCCCTTGCCCCACTTTTACCCGTCTTTGTTTGATTTTTGTGCCACAAAAATATAATTATACTACGTATCTATAAATAATTAATTTGGTTTTTTGCATATTATTTATGTGTCATTGCCAAAAAATCCTCTTTCAAAAGTGCAACTCAAAATGTGCTGAACAGGGTATCCAACTTTTTGTCTTCATAGTAACATATTTTCAGAATAAATTACAACATACATGAAAGTAGATCATTAGCCTGCCTTCCATGGAGTCTAACAGTACTTATTAGATGACTGAAGAATGATTATAAAGGCAGAAGAGACTGTTGGGTTCCAGATAAAGCATTGCCATGTCATGAGCCCATAGCGTGCAAGATGTTGGCAACCAGCCAGTGAACTGGAGGCATGTGCCTCCTGATTTGTTTTTTCTTTCTTTCACACTGATCATTATGACTCAATATGGTTACTAACATCTTTCTACTCCCATACATTCTCTGACTACCTAGCCCTCCCCCTTTGATCTAAAAGAGTTTTGCCCCACAGTGGTGGCTTGATCCCAAATCTGCATACGACAACATATTATCTACTCCTAACATGCCTTGACTAGGACCAAAATGATTGAACACTGCAGAGAAATCCAGGACTGCCTTTGCAGTTGCCTTCTCAGCACAGAACATTTTAAGAATGAACTCAGTGGTTCTCAGCTCCGGGCAGTATCACCCCAGTATATATTTGGGAAGTGTTACTTTTGGCACTATTTGATTGGGTGATAGCCAGGGATGCAAATGACCTGCAATGATTAAGATTGTTTATATAGGGCCTTCCCTGGTGGCACAGGCAGTTGAACACAGCACTGTGAAGCTGTCCACAGCCTCTACAGTGCCGGGTTCGATCCCGGCCAGCTGGTGAGAATCCCACTCTCCTGTCTTGCCCACTGCTCCCCTCAGCAGTGTATTTCAGTCAGTCTGCCTGTTCTGTTCCCCACTCTGTCTCTGGTGAATCCTCTTACCCTCCCGTGCATCTGGCCTGTACCCTGGCTCTTGTATGCATGAATAAATAAATCTTAAAAAAAAAAAGATTGTTTATCACTACAAAGTTTTGTTTCACCCTTAAATGACAATAGTACCTCTGCTGAGAAGGTTAGATTTAAGGTCATAGCACTGTGTTGGAGAAATTTCTTGGTAAGATTCCTATCTTCTTGTGATATATATATATACACAATGGAATACTATTCAGCAATCAAAAAAGATAAACCTATGCCATTTGCAGCAATATGGATGGAGCTAGAAGGAATTATGCTCAGTGAAATAAGTCAGAAGGAAGAAAAATATTGGATGGTTTCACATATAGGAGGAATATAGGGGAACCAAATAAGACATCAGGGGAAAAAAAATAATAACAATACAAAACACAACAAAACAAAAACAAACAGACAATTATAAACCAGAGACATACTGCAAGGAAGGAGGAGGCAGAGGGATCAGAAGGAGAGAGGGAGGAGCATAGGGAACTGAGGTGATGGTGCACGGGTGCATTGGTGAAGGAAACTCTATGGGGACTACACCTGAGGGGGTGTGAGGAAGCAAATATTGTTTAAAAATGAACAATGATGTAAAAAAATTTTAAAAAGTTAATTAAAAAATCAGTGGGGAAAAAAAGAAAAAGTGAGAGTTTGTTCTTTTTAATGTTAGAAATGTTTGAACACTGAGTGAAGATGTCACTAAAGAACATAAGATTAAAGATACCAAAATGGAAAAGTCAAGACACGGGTGAGAGAGGATGTGAGATTAGAACTTTCCTAACAGGAGACAGTAGCCAACGGTCAAGTGGAGGGATTAGGTGTTGAAGGTGTTGAGGGAGGAGAGCTATTTCTTTCATTGTGACAAACACAGAATCATCATCATCATTCCTAACTTTTCCAGGACAAAGTATTTAAAAAATAGGTCTATGCCAATGTTAATTTTTTAAAGACTGATAAAAGACCCTTCAGAACAAAACATTCCCCTTAATCTGTTGTCAAGTGGTATATTATATTCTCATTCTAAATAAAAACACACCTTCCTGAAACTGTAATGGTAGGCTCAGAACTCCTGGGTGTCAGGCGGAGGGGAAATGTTTACTCACAACCCTCTGGAGGAAAGTCCTATGCCATAGTGCTAATGATTCACACAAAGGGTTTGCCCTACCCTGGAACAGAACTACCTTCCTTTGCCACGACCACAGATATCATCCCTAGGCAACTGAAGCCTGGAGGAAGGAGAATTAATAGGAATGGACTTAGAGTGGACTACTCTAAACCAGAACTAAATGAACCTGAGAACTTTAAATGACAACAAGGAAACTCTGTCCACAACAGACAAACAACACATGATGGCCTTTTTGATATGTCCGTGTCACATCACTAGGTTGAAGTCCTCAGTCACACACTCAGACACTCATCTAGGTGTTGTGGTCAAGGTATTTTTTAGACATGATTAAAGTCCATAATCAGTTGTCTTTACATAAAGAAAATTATCTCAGAGTAATCTGGATGGACCTGATTTAATCACTTGAAAGAACTTAAAAGCAGAAGTGAGACTTCTAAAGAGGATGAAACTCATTGCCAAAAAGAAAGAAGTAACAAATGTTGGCCAGGATATGTAGAAAAAGGAACTCCTGTGTATACTGTTGGAAAGAATATGCAGCCACTACGGAAAATAGTATGGAGGTTCCTCAAAAATTTAAAAATAGAACTACATGTGATCCACTAACCCCAATCTTCATAGCTTTATTCACAACAGCCAAGATACGGAAGCAACCTAAGATGTGGTATATAGAATCATGCCTTGTATAAGGATGGGGACATCTTCTGAGAAATGTGTCTTTATACAAATGTCATACAGTGTACTTACATAATCCTAGATGGTCGAGTCCACTTAACACTTAGGCTCTATCCTATAGCCTATTGAAATCACCTTCATGCCTGTGGTCCACTGTGACCAAAATATCAGTAAGTGATGACTATACATGCAATATTCAGTAACAAAAAAGAATGAAACCTTGCCAACTACAACAACATGGAGGGGCCTTGAGGGAAATATGCTAAATGAAATAAGTCAGATACAAAAAGACAAATGCCATAGGATCTCATCCATATATAGAATCTTAAAAATAAAAAACAACCTCAAAGAACAAATTAGTAGTTGTCAGAAGTGGAGAGTGATGGATAAAATGGGTGAAAGGAACCAAAAGATGCAAACTTAGAGTTATTAAATAAATAAATCATAAATATGTAATACATAGCATGGTAACTATAGTTAATAATACCGTAAATCATATTTGAAGGATTCTAAGAGAGTAGATTGTAAACATTTTCACCACAAGAAAAATATTTTGTAACTATGTTTGGTGATGGATGTTACCAGATTTATTGTAGTAATCATCTCACAATATACACAAATAATAAATTATTGTGTCATATATGAGAAATTAACATGTTATATCTCAGCTCTACCTCAATAAAAAATATTTTTTAAAAAAAGAGGAAGAAATTTTGCAAATAAACAGCATCTTCAGTCCATGTTTAAGAGCCCAGTCCATCCTCCCCTACAGCCTGCCTATGGATTTTGGACTTGCTGAGCCAGCCCCACAATCATATAAGCCAAACTCCCTGCAAGAGGTTCTTAATACATATCTTTCACTAATTCTACTTGTGTGGTTGAATCTTGACTGATGCACATATTAATGATAAGAATATAATGTGGTAAACACTGAAGAAATGCCAGGGGCTGATCACAACTATCAGTATATCAAACTGGCTCAACAAATTGAGAACTCAGATGAAACTACCAGGATTCTTACTGGGTTAGGAGAGCAGAAAGGGTCAACGGTATAGCTTTAGGGGTCCACATCCCCCAAAATTGTACATAAAATTTTAGGGAGACACACCAGAGTCTAGGGACCTGTTATCTAATAATATTAAATCCCTGGCACTTCCTGTAAACCAAAATAAGGTACTCACACTCAAACCTAATCCATGAGAACAGTGATGGTTTCTGTGGATTTGTACTCACTAAGTTTTACAAGCGTTAGTCAAAGCACTTAAAAAAAAAAAAAAAAAACCCAGACAGAATGTTTCTTGGGCAAAGATCAAGGACAGGATAATAATTATTTAAAATCTAAAGCAGGAGTTCTCAGAACATTTTGGTCTGTGGACTGCTTCTGCAAGCGACTCACTGCCCATCTCCTGCCATTGCTACAAGCCAGGAGAAAAACATCATGATGAGACAGCAGTGAGATGAGACCCAGGTTTTATCAGATATTACAAATAAATTATGAAACTAAGTTTCATAAATCAAAGAACAGATACATCAAAAAATAGAAGTTATAGGAGATCAATACTCAAATATCTTGAGGGCAAGCAGTCTGAACTTTTAAGGACTGCTGGTCTAGACTCTAAGGCTGCTTTTTCCCTCCGCAAAACAAAACCCTATGATGTCTTGAGCCAGTGAATCAAACTCTAGGGAGTCACTCACTATACATCTGTTGCTCAGAGTGAGTTGGAAGTCTCTGTTTACATATGCTGAAATGGATGAACACGGATTACTTAGTCATCTGATAATTTCAGCAGGAAAGCCAAACCTCACCAAGGTTTAATCTCCGTTAACAGAGAGGGAAAAAATAGGATTTAAGAAGAGGTAAATAACCTGCAATCTGTGTCGGTCAAATGAGGAATAAAAAAGATGCAACTCTTTTTTTAATCTGACACAATCTACAATTTAAATCTCTTGATTAGTCTTGAAACAACACTAGTCTGCAGAACATAATTTAAGACTGGGTTAGTCTGGAAGCAGAGAGGTGTATGCAAAGACCTGTGTAGACATGTCTCATACTTATTTATTATAGATATTTGTTTCCTGCCCACTGCGGTATTTTAATAAGCAGAATATTGTGCTAATGTTCTGAAGCGCATAAAGATCCCTTTGTCCTACAGGTTAATAACAGTTTATAGTCATAAAAAGAAAAATGATACTTACTTTGCTGTGACAGTACCATTTAAACTCTTAGACTTCAAAGAACAATATAATGGTGTCTGCAAAACAACTTCAAATTTTGGTAATACTGGAAAAGAAAAGCAAGTATAAATATTTTAAAGAATCTATTTTAGAATCATACTCAGTTTAAAAAGAACAGAATTGCTCTAAAAGAGTTGACAATGGGGACAATTCAAACTTAGATTCATTAGAACAGAAATATCCATTAACACACAGAAGAAAAGCACTTTACTTCACCTAAAATTAGGTTGCCGGTGACTAGACAGCCACAGTGGGGGCCAGTTGCTGTGAACTCTGGTGTTGGAGGAAGCTTCTCAGTGGCAGAATCTAAATTGTACCCAGAACCCTAAATGCCAGAACATCTGAACACTAAAAGCAAGCTTTTATCCAGCTCTCACCCACTAGTGTGGCCTTACCACTGGATAAAATACTTCAATATTACTTAGTAAACCGACGCTTCTAGAACAGACCCTTCCCTAGGACTTTTCTTGAATTTCATTACTTTCAGCACCACCTGGAGACCCAAGACTCTCACTCCACTGTGTGGTATCAAACCCTGCCTTTGAGATGATCAAAGGAAAATCTGGAGACAGTCTAATGTAATGGATTGCTATGAAGAGAAAGTTGTAGAGTAGGATTTCAAGTTAACCAAGATACACCACAAAGCAATGATGCTTTTCAGTGTGTGGCAAGTATACCTAAAGACAATTCCAAAATTAGAAACTCTTACTTTGACCAGTTTTCTTTAATTAAAATATGAAATATTTTATAAATGGGAACACTATTTGATAGAAATCACTCCAGCAGCATTAAAAAAAAAAAATGTAGGGCCTCCCCGGTGGCGCAGCGGTTGAGCGCTGGGTTGTGAAGCTGCCCGCGGCTTCTGCAGCGCGGGTTCGATCCCCAGTTGCTCCCCGGCCACTGGAGGAGGGTCCCACATGGCACGCAGACCTCTCCTGCCGCCCGCTGCTCCCCTCAGCAGTGTACTTCAGTCCTTCTTCCTGCTCTGCTCCCCGCTCTGGCTCTGGTGAATTCTCTCACCCTCCCGCGCTTCTGACTGTACCCAGTGCTTGTATAAACAAAAACAAACAAACAAACAAATAAATAAAAAAAAAAAAAAAAAAAAAAAAAAAAAATGTAGTTTCCTTCCAGTAGATAGAAATATTATTTCTCTAACCTCACTGACCAAAAAAAAAAAAAAAAAAGGGCAAGTCTCATTTCTAGGTATCTCGTCATTCAAATGACACAAAAATATCAAGGCCATGGGCCAAGGATACAGGGCAGACCTCCAGTGTAAGGCCCTCAGGTTGCCAAGACACTCCTCAGCTCTAGGTCAGTCTAGCTCTGGAGGACCAAAAGAGACAAATGGGTAAACTCTGGCCTCCTCCAAAGTTCTCAGAAGGTAGGAGCCACTCAAAGGTGAATTTCCTCAGGACAAGGAAATTCAAATACCCCCTTCCCAAATATCAAAGTTGGCCACCTATTCCACCATCTGCAGTAATCCCGTCCAATTACATACAGCTATCCAACACCACCTCCATTTGACACAAAATAGCCTTAAAAACCATGGCTACCTCTGAGTTATTCTTCTACATCAGCACTGTCCAAAAGGAAAAAATGTCAACCACATGTGTAAAATGGAAATTGGTAGCAGCCACATTTAAAACATAAAAAGTAAAATTAACTTTTGTAACATTTAACTTAACCCATGTATCTAAAATATTGTCATTTCAACATTAATGAATACAAATATTACTATTAATGAGCTTTTTTCTTTTTTGTGTACTAAGTATTCAAAATCTGCTATGTATTTTACATTCAGAGAACATCTCCATGTGGACTAGTCACATGTCTCAAGAACTCAATATCTGCACATGTTGTGTGAACCCTGCACGTGTTGAATGAACTGAACTTCCAGATCAGGGGTAAGTGATGACCAACATGAGCTAAGTACGTTTTCACATTGTTAACTGATTGGAAAAAATCGAAAGAAGAATATTTCATGATATTTCAAAATTAAATGAAATTCAAATTTCCATGTCCAAGTTTCACGTAACATTTTATTGGATTACAACTCCATTCACTTGTGTAATGTCTACAGCTGCTTCCTGCTACAATGGCAAAGTTGAGTAGTTATGACAGAGATGTATCTCCACGGAAACTAAAATATTACTATCTGGCCCTTTCTAAAAAAAAAAAAAAATTGCTGATCACTGTTCTAGTTCATGAGACTAGATCATGAGACTTCAATGTGATAATGCTGCATGACTGAGCCACAAAGGTGCAAGCAAGCTACTTCCCAGAATTGCCACTGCCTGAGTGAGACACAATCTCAAAAACTGACACAAATCAAATGAAAAAGTCATGTACAACTTCAAAATCACTATTCGAATTATAATACTGAATCCTGAATTTTCACTGTCCTCTCCAACAATTAACAAAATAGTTGGGTCACATTGTTTTATCTGTGTTTGCAGCTGTGTGACATTACAAATGTAGCATCTGCAAGAAGAGGACTTACCCACCTTCAAGGCTGGCTTTACTACTGCCAACCAAATGAAAATTATGAAAAATAACCGATATATGTTTTTTTAATACAAAAATTTAAATGGTATGATAACAAGAAAGGAGAAAACAGGAAAATTGTACATAGGAAATAGATGAGCATAATGGGACTACCATTTTCCCTCTTTATTCTTTGTAATGATATCTTTCACTTTTACAAAAGGAAAAATGTTTAGGCATGGAAGAAACACCTAACCCATTGTGATTTATACTTAACAAATCTATTGAAAATTTCTCTTTGTGGTAAGTAATAAATGTGTTTTTTTTTCTTTCAAGATAAATTAAAGAACTCTTACCATATTCTGAAACCTGAAATGACTGATAATATGTCTGGTCCTATTGAGAGGAAGAAAAAAAGACAAAAATTATATATATATGAGTTCTTATTGAATTATTTTGCTTGCTTATATAACGTATACATTATTTTGCTTGCCTGCATTGAAAATATTTAGAAAATTTGTTTTTAATTACATTTAATGATTTAATGAACAAAAGTTTAATTTAGGAATTTTGTTTTTAGTCATTTGCAACACAAAGCCTGTGAGATTTCATGAGTTTTTCTTGCTCATTTCAAACATAAAAAAGTGACCTGTCTCTATAATTTATTGCCAGTCATTCAGACAAACTGTTTAATCTGATGTCTATCATTTGTAAAACGAGAACTAGATTAACTTGGATACTTTAGAAATTTAGAGATCGAGGATAAAACATTTGTCAAAAAAAAACAGGAAATGACTTCAAATTTGTTTTAATATCACTTTAAAAAAAAACAGTGGAGCAAATCAAATCACACATAATTCAAATATTGATAATTGAGGATACAAAATCATCTTGTACCAACATCCTCTACTTTCCTAGTTCATTGAATTATTTTCTAGTGTAAATCCTTCAGTCAATTCTAAATATAAATCATTAATACCTTATTGTTTTCTAATATCTCAAATTTGTCTATTCTAAATCATAAAATTATGTTAAATAGAACCTCTTCAAAATAGTTAAATAATTATACTAATGTAATTTTTATTATCAATCTGATTCCCTGTTTTTCAAATCAAATAGATGTAGCTACAAAATATTAGTTTTTAAAAAACAGTCCTTGGTTAATCTAAAGTAACTGTATGCCAAGTCATTATTTATTCCTAAAAAGATAAATATTGTAGTTCATATTTAAAAAAAATTAATTACTGACATAACTCACAAAATACTTATCTAAAATGAGCCTTCAATGTTGTCATTTAAAATAGATCCCAAAGAAACTGTTAGTTAAGGTCTCTAAGAATCTCCACATTTGTGATTTCTCTCTTAAATTGTCTTCACATATAGAGGAATGTTTAAGTTTGATGTGTTTGATTCATTTATAACTTCTAATTTGCCATCCTCAAAACCAAGTCAAGAAGTAATCAACTTGCATTAATTACCTGTCTCACTGAAAAACTAAGAATTCTAGTCTGAAAATAAGTTTTTGCCTAATTACTGACACCAGCAGTGATTAAGGTGAAATAAGTAATCTGACAGTGATGATGTCTCTGTTAAGTTCACAGAGCAAACACTGAGTGAATACTATATGCAAAACACCGTAAAAGTTTCTGTAAAAATAAATTACAGTCCTCAGGTTTAGAGAGTTAGTCAAGAGATGGAGATAACATACTCAAGAGCAAAATCACAAGAGTGAAAACATTCTAGGATCTCAATGTATCTTACTCTTCGTGTTTGATTTACTTTCATCTCTAACCATCTTCCAATAATTAGTACAAATCTTACTGCTTCCCTGAGTTCCCAATCTAAAGTAATCATGGAAAACTGAAGAAAAAGCTTCTGTCAATTTTACCTGAACTGAACTAACTCTGAACAAAAAAGGGGATAAAAAGAAACCCAGGGCTTTTGTAGGGAGTACAAGTTTCTTTACTAAACTATATTCTTTCAGTTTCAAAGAGAAAATCTGCTTCTAAATGAGATTTTATATTTATTCTAGCTCAGCAAATGCAGTTGTACTCATTCACTCTGCCAGCAAGAGAAGAGGATAAAACCTAAAAACTTAAATACTGGGGCAGCATTTCTCCTAAGCAAACATCTTTTCATGATGAGTTAGGCATCACTCATCAACAACTTCTGAGCTCTACTTTCCCCAATATGGCTACTACTATTCGGGAAAAGCTCTCCCTTAGACAATCTGCTCTTCAGCACATATACTCACTGTCACTTTGTATTACATGTAAGCCTGTCTCATCGCATCTTCTAAACTACTTCTGAAGCAGAAATGTTTGAAAAGAGCCATCAGTAGCCATTCAGAGCTATCTGTAATTTCTTTACCCCTTTCTCTTAAGTCAAAAGTTCATTGTGGTAGTGAATGTTTCGGAAATCAAGCAAACAAAAGGCAAGAGAGAAAAGACACCACTTTGACTCCCTTCCTAGAAAATATGATGGGAGTAGGAAGCAAATTGGAGACATGTAAATAACCAAAACTAACTACTCCAATTACAAAATTTTCCTTCTCCAACCATGAAGCCATCCAACTCTTGAGAGGGTTTTTTTTTTTTTCAATAAACTTAAAGCAATACAGCACACTATTTTTTATTTTAAAATGCCAGTCAGCATCTTTCAACTCAAATATTTGCACATTTATGTTCATTTATGGTTATTTCAATTTCCTAAAAGTCAACTTTAGCATTGATCTCCAATATCTGGATTTAATTTTTATATAAGAATTAAGAAAGGCACTGAATTTTTTAAATCCACACATAACAAAATGTTAAAATGGAATTATTTTAGACTCAGTTTTGGCTCTGTCACCCAAGACAACAGATGCCAACTACATTCACATTCCAAAGTCAGGTGCATAACTAGAATGCAAGACTTGCAAAAGAGGTTTCCAAAAACTGATTCTGCAACTAAAACAAAAGGATCAATATGAAAATAACAAGAAAGGAATTTCAGGAATAGTTCTGAGATGCCTAGTGTAACACACATACACACCCCACAGTCAGGGATCAGGTAGGAGCTGTGTGTCCCTCACCTCAAGCCTAGAAAAGGGGCTCCCATAGGACAATGGATACACTTGCTGGGAAGGCAAGTTGCCATTGGGCAGGCAATTGACACACATCAACAAATTAACTAGCAAACACTGCCACTGACCTACTACGAGAGTGTGCTGTGTAACAGGTATTCTGTGCCTCCTGAGTTTCAAGGAGCAAAGAAAGCATGAGCGCATTCCCTCAATTAGACATGTAAAAAAAAGCCAGACAAGCCTGGCTGTCTTCTGTGCTAAGACAACCTCAGGAGATGGAAGCTGAAGGTGTACCATGACTGCCCGTGAGCTGCCAGGGGAAGAGACAGATTCAAAAGCATCCTCATCAAAAGACACTTTGGAAAAAAAAATAAAAGACACTTTGGGGCCTCCCAGATAGAGCAGGGGTTAAAGTCTCAGCACTATCAAGCTATCACCAGCCACTGCAGCACAAATTTGATCCCTGGCCTCGGAGCTGACTGACATGGCGCAGCAGACCTCTCCTGTCACGCCACTGCTCCCCTCAACAGTGCATTTCAGTCAATCCTCCTATTCTGCTCCCCACTCTGTCTCTGGTGAATCTTCTCAATCCCTGCACCTCAGGCCTACACCCCAGTACTTGCATGCATAAATAAATAAAAATAAATCTTTAGGGGGAAAAAAAGACACTTTGGATAAAGGACCAAACAGCAATGGCAGGTGAGCTCCAAAAAGCCACCGAAGAGTTCTAAAAAAGCAAAGGAGCTAGTTTTAATACCTGCCAAGCCTAGAGAGCTCTGATACTAGATGACAACAGTACTAAGTTGAACCACATTAAATTGCCATTTTTTGTAGAATGAATATTGGCAAATCATATGACTCATCTCTACACGTCAAATAAGAATTTTTTACTGCTCACCTACCTCTCTTCAAGTTGATTCTAGAGGACTCCCATGTGGCCTAGGACATACCAAAGAAGACTCAAGCAGAGAGAAAGGGGCACTTTATTTTATTAGACTGTACATACTAGTAACAGAACATAAACTGTTCCATGCTTATTTCCAAAAAATAACCAGAAAAATGGTGGGATTCATCCTATATTTCATAGAAGGATTAGGAAAGAATTGGCCCCTAAAAATAGGACTAAATGGCAAAAGAATAAATATTGTGGTTTTTCATTGCACCTGTTGAGTAATACATGTTAAACCTCACACTTCCACACAAAAAGAGCACACCAAACTGCACAACTGTCCATGTTAAGAACAAATGGGGATGCAGAGGGTATCCACATTTCTGACTCATAAGACATTTCCTACCCAAACAGCTATGTTTAGAGTGCTAGACCAATCCACAAAAGTTTACTTAATCCATATGTGAACATACTAAAATGTTCTGGGAACATCCACCTCCCTGGTCTAACAGACAACAGAACAAAGTCACAAAGAAACAATCCAAAATCCACTGCCCTCGAGGAAAGGCAGCTTTTCAACCCCACTCATGACCAAAGAGTCAAATAAAGATTTAAAGAATGTATGCCCAACCTCTGCATCTCCACAGTGTATTCTTTAGAAAGGAAGAGATTTATTTTTTAAAAAATAATAATAATAACAATACAAAACACAAAACAAAAACAGACAAATATAAACCAGAGACATACTGCAGGGGAGGAGGAGGGAGAGGGATCAGAGGGAGGAAGGGAGGAGCACAGGGGACTGTGGTGATGGTGCACAGGTGCATTGGTGAAGGAAATTCTATGGGGACTACACCTGGTGGGGGAGAGGGAGGGGAAAAAAAGCATTGTTAAAAATGAACAATGATGCAAAAAAAAATATTTTAAAAAAAGAAGAGATTTATATCCCTGCATTGCCTTCCTCTGAGCTTAGCAGCAACAAATCTTCAGGTTAAAACAACTTAGAACCACCTGTCAAGAACCATTAAATTCTTAATGTGAATGACTCATTGTTTCTACTTATATGAACTAAATTCAAACTTGTGTTTGTTGGAACAGTTCTCACAGTAAAATCTGTCAGACCGCTTCCCAGCTTTGAATCCTCACTTTGATTATCTAACACCCTTTGTCTAATTATACTTGAGACTTTATTTCCAGTTAACACATATGAATGAAACTATATGGTAGTTTTAGATACCATTAGATACCATTTAATTACTCATCACTCATCTTCTCCTCCCCTCCCTCCCAATCCCTGTCTGTCTGTCTGTCTGTCTGTCTTCCTCCCCACCCTTTTCTCCTTTCTGAACCCCGCCACTCCCCTTCCCCTCACTGTCTCCTGGTCTTTCCAAGCCCCTTCCTCTCTTTCTGTTGATTTGGGTGACTCTTCTTCTTAGCTGCTGAATGTAGTGATTTCTGACAGATCAATCCAAACACTGCCTGTTCATCCCTCACCCCCAAACTGACTTCCATAGAGCTTCTATGGGTGATTCTCCCAAAGACCACCCTTGAAATCCCAGAGTCACTTTGTTAAAAGACAAACTTCAGCATAATGAATTTTTTTGAGTTTTTTATTTGAGCAAAAATCTATGCAAATAAGGCAGCACCAAACCAGAAGTGGTCAGGAGCAGTGCAAGAATAGGAGTTGGTGAGTAACTTTTATAGAGAAAAGGAAGATGGAAAGTGAGGAAGTGGTTGACTGGCTATAGTGGAAAATCTAGTTGGTGGTGTGTGATTGGTTGTCCTTAGTGTTTTTATTTCATAGCCTTGAGACAGGTAAAGGCATAGATTTTGGTTTGCTTACATAAACCTCCACCGCACTAGAGCTCCTCAGTCTAATGTCTCCGGATCTAACTAATTTAGTACCTTTTACTCCTCTTTCTCCTTTGCCCCAATCATTATGCAGTCAATAAACCTAATGATTCTTCCTTTGAAGTGTCTCTTGATTTCATCCATTTCTTTTCAGATTTTGTTGCTCCCTGAGAGCAGTTCCTTATTAACCTGAGGGTGGGCTACACAGGAGGTAGTCAGATGTTTTGAATGATCCTACCCCTCTAGCTAGTATCAGTTCCTCTGAGAGGCTTCAGTTCCTCTCCCACTAGTCAGTCCACATGCTAAGATCTTTTGGAAAATACTACTTTAATCACCTTAAACTACTGCCTAAAAATCAAACAAGAAATGGTGATGATTTTTGTTTATGAGATTATCAAAAGTACATCACTCTTTCTACTGTGTAATGTTTGAGTATTTCTACATTGAGCATGAATACTTTTATAAGCAGATGAAAATAAAGCATAATTTTATAATGAAATTCATTCAAATACACTTTTGCATCCTTTGTCCTCAGAAATCTTGAGAGTTATTAATCGAATTCAAAGCAAAGTAAGTTTTCAGAGCTCCCTAATACCTACAAAATGAAATCTAAGACTTTAGCCTGATATCCACCACCTGCCACCACAACTTCACCCACAAACTCTTCCAACTGTCTCTTCGACTACTACTCTCTACAAGCCCACCACTCTAAGAAAGTTCCTGCTTTCCAATTCCAGCTCTGTCACCTAGCTCAGAGCCTCACCCCACTTCCATCTGTACCGATCCTCAGCTAAGTCCTACGTGGTCCACCTAGTTGAAGCATGGAAATAGAAAAGTGCAAAGAGGCTCACAAATCCAAACTCCACAACCAACACCTCCTTCCCTTTCTCACTACACATTGAAGTAAGAACTCAAGGTCTTTTCCAAAATAAGCTGTATTTTTTTAAGCAGAGGCTAGCAAAAGTATTTTGGAAACCGTATCCACATTCCAGAGAGGAAGCCACTGCTTTCTGACCTGTCACAGTCTGCTCCATGCTTTCTGTTCAGCTGTCATCACAACTGGGGGTGGGGGTGGTGAAGGGGGGGCTACCAGATGCTACTGGTAGATGCCTCAAGAACAGAACTGTCCAAACAAAGATTGTGCTCCTCGACAAAAGACTAAGGGCTCCAGACAAACTTGACAGCAGAAGCACAGGGACCCAAGCAACAGCTGGGCCAGAATGATAAGGGGTATCTGAAAGCTTATGCAAAGTGGTGGGGTGCTGGCAACCCTTACTTAACCTTTCAACAATAACTAATTCAAAAATAGTGTAGAGTTGACTGTTATGAACAAAGGAACAATTCAATGCTGACTGCTTCTGAATTACATGATAATTTGATACTCACAATATATTATATCGAGCTCCTAAGAGTGCTGTCAAGCTTTAGGGCTGTTGAGTTTTCTACCTTCTAGTTCTGGTCCCCACCTCAACAATGGCTTCCGAATGAGACAAGAGGTGAGAAACTGCCCTCACTTACAGACAATGACCCCACAAGAATATGTAGTTCAGTGGCTCCCAAGTTGATCATGTATCTGAATCACCAGGGAAATTGTTGTAAAAACATGAATTGGCCCAAAAATCCAATTTTATAACTCTAGGGTTCCAGTCTGCACTGGTCACCTAAAGAGATAAATAGTGCAGACTCTCACCCCTAGGGAGATTTCAAAGAATACATCACAGGGTCTGCTCCCAGTTCATACAATTTCTACTATCCGACACTGCCTCTCAGTGGAAAAAATAAAAACTAAAGATTCCTGGCTTTTGGCATCTAGGAGCACTTCTCAAAACGTGATCCAGAAAAATCAACAGAATTTCCAGGAATGCTTATTTAAAATGCAGATTCCTAGGTCCCGCAATACTGACTTGTGAGTTGAAGGTGGGGCCTGGACTACAGGTGCTGAACAGGCTCCCCAGTCAGCTGGCTCGGAGGCCGCTGATGTTTGAGAACCACTGTAATTTCTCACGCTGGGATCTAAACGCAGCTGTACGAGCTTCTCTGGAAGGAAAGACAGGTGTCTATGTGCTACTGAGGAAAGAGGGATGCCATTATCAAATAAGCAGGACTCAGAGATCCTACTCTTCCTTCAGGTTCTCAGAAGAACTCATGCACCAAGGTTCGGGTGACCCTAGAACTCGAAGCTATGGGCAGCACACAGAGAGGGAAGGGGCTGGTGCAGCCAGATCCTTCTGGATTCAGGGACATTATTAGCCTTTCTTTTCAAGAACCTCTAAAACTGCCATATACTAACTTGGAATACAATTTTTAAATCACAGATGCAAAAACATTTGCAACAAAGTGTAGTATAGACATGAACAGAACACTATTGTACAGCCTTAAAAAAAAGGAAATTCTGACACACACTGCTGGATGAACCTTGAGGACATGTGCTAAGTGAGATAAGCCAGTCACGGAAAGTCAAAACCTGCACGGTTCCACTTACACTGAGGCACTTAGAGTCATGAAAGTCATAGAGACAGAAAGCAAACAAGAGTGACCAAGGGTTGGGGGTTAGGGGCAAGGGGGAATGGGTGCACAGAGTTTCCATTTTGCATGATGAAGAGTCTTGGAGGTTGGTGGCAGGGATGGCTGCAGAGCAATGGGGATGTATTTGATACCACTGAGCTAATACTTGAAAAAAAGTTAACACAGTAAATCTCATGTTATCTATATTTTACCATAAACAAAAATGAGGAAATGAAACATATGCAATTATTTGGGAAAAGCAAAAATACCAGTCAAAAGATAGACACCCAGAGATAAGAGAAGTCCTGCAAAAAAATGAAAACACAATGTTTAACTTTTAAAGCAAGTTATCTTCCCAATGTATATTTGTAAGTTGACTATAATACCAGAGTGCATCCCCACTTGATCTGTATATACCTGAAGTATGTAAAACAGCCCTAAAAAACACACTTCATTGAGATGCTACAGTTGAAATAAATCTCTTCCTGAGAAGACAGCTTGATGCTCCAGGAAGTTAAGGGAGAAATGAAGGGAAAGAGCTGGGAGAGGGCAAAGGTATGGTGATTTTGCAGAGAAGTGCAATCCCCAGAGCAGCAAAGAAAATTCACTGCAAAAAGAAAAGGAGCTTGATAACAAGCTTGAATGTTGTGCAGGAGTCAAGAAAAAAAAAAGAGGAAGGTTGGGTCTGGGGGGGGTTGCTTTTCTTTATATTTCTTTGATTATACTGACCTCTGGTGGCCCAAAAATGAATCCTTTTTTTTGTTTTTGTTTTTTTTTATAAAGGGCCTTGCTTTTCCTTAGTTATGTGCCTTAACACTGTATCACCTGGAGACCTCCTATCACAACGTATACATATATCAAACCATCTCCTTGTACACTTTAAACACCCTACAATTTTTTTAGCAGTTATCCTCAATAAATCGGGGAGCAGGAGGGAGGAAGCTGTATCGTCAGTAAGTAACCTGATTAATATGCTGTTTTAAAAAGGATAAAGGTGATTCATTAGCATATGGAAAAGGAAAATTATATTTAGTTCATGATAAATGACTATTATTTAGCTTTCAAATATTCATGTAATAAATCTTACTTCTAATTCTGTACAAAGCCCTGTGCAAAGTAACAGAGATACAGGAATGAGCAAGACAAATGGTCACCGCCTTTCAACAGTGAGAAGCCCTGTTTTAATAGAACTGTTTTTAAAGCTCTTGTCTGTAAACTTATATATATTCAGAGAAATCCAATGAAAAATGGAATAATATTTTATGAATCTTCAAACATCACAGGATGACAGAGGAGAAAACGAAAGGAAAAGATGGAGGGCATTTTAATTCCCCTGACCTGTTAGATTGCAGAGCTACAAGAGTTAACAGCAAATAAAGAAGTGGAGGAGTTGAAGAGAAAGAAGGGTTGAGTAACAGAAGATTCATGTGACCATTTAAAGTCACTGTTTTTTTTTTTTAAATAAAGAGAAAGTAATTATTTTAATCCTTCATCAGGAGTAATTATTCTGGCACATAAAATCTGTGAAACAATAGCTATGTATTCATTACCTAATTTTAAAATGCTTAGTACATACAATGAGTAAAGTAAGTAGCATTTAATCAACTGTATACTAAAATGCCAAAATACTTTAACCTTCAAATATTATATAAAAAACAACACCGGTTAAAATTCTAATATGCTATAATGAAGGTTAATCCATTACTATACATAGCAAATTAAAAATAAACCTCTTAAATTATCTAAATGTTCAGATTTATTTTTTCTGTTCTTTGAATGACTTTGGACATATTGCCCTACCTGATCTATTTAAATCATTTTAACATTCCCCACCCAAAAAACATTTTTATACTTACATTCACTTGCACTTGAATGGACCAGTCACCAAGTATTGGATGGGAAGACAGCTGAAAAGTTTTGGAAACAACTCCAAGATCACTTTTCTCTGACAACCACTGTTGAATCAAATTTGACTTGGGGTCCTAGAATGAAAACCATCCATGTTAACACTACATAGGTTACCCAAGTACATGTGTGCCCTAGCAAGTGGGTATAGCAGCTCACCCAGCCATGTCCAAAATCTGGCACAATGATAGTTTTTGGAAAATGTCAGCTCTATATTACAAAAGAAGACAGTGTCTTGAGAACATTTTTATTATGCTCCACCTTTTAATTCGTATCAACACATTTCCTTCTACATGAAACACTACAACACATGTCCCCAAATCTGTGTTGTGTTGCTGTTGCTGTTAGTGTCCTTATAAGAACACTGCAGAGATAACAGGCACACTGTGTGTCAGGCACTCTGCTTATCATTACAACAGTTGCATCTTTTCAATCCTCCTTAGGGTAGGATCATCCCACATTGTTGTTGGGAAAATAGATGATGCCTAGAGTGATGAGGCAAGCATTAAGCTGTAAGGAGAATGAGCACTAAGGTGTAAGAAGCAATTGGCTGGCCCAAAATCATAGCTCCCATCTGTGAAAGATTTAAGGAGTCAAATCCTTGTGTTTTTAAATTCAACAAACGTGTATTAACAGATGTTAACCAAGGGGGTACATGAAAAACACTTCAGTCATCCTATACCATCCCAGACAGGAACCCCTTCAGGCAACATTTGCCCAAGTCAACCAAGCAGTCTCCCCCATTCTTCTCACCTTCTAAGTCCTGTCAACACTCTTTAATCTCTCTCTCATTTGTCTCCTTTCCATCTTCACACCCAGCCACCACATCCTGTTTTCTAACTATTGCAACTAATCTCCCTCCTTCAGTCTTGCTCCTCCAATCCATCTTCCGCACTGCCAACAGTGTGATCTGTTTGCCACACAAACCTGAGGCTAAGGCAAAGTGGTGGAAATGCTTGATACAAGCAGTGAATAAACTTTGGCTATGATCCTCATATAAGACCACTTAGGTAACAAGTCTTTACTTGCTTACAGAACAAAGTCAACACTCCTTTGCATAATTTACAAGGTCTAATAATCTAATGCTACTTACATTTCTAGGCTCAACGTCCTCCAAACTTAATAGACTTGTTTGAAATTCACCCCAAAAGCATCTAGGCCTCTACCCGCTGCATAGAATATCCTCCCTTCTTTACCCAAGTAGTGGAATAAGCACTAATGTCTAGTCTTCCACACAGGCTTCTAACAAACAGGAGAAAGGACCACTTCCCTGGTATCTCTGGAGTTCACCCTTCTTAAATACACATAATTATTTAAAGCACTCATTGTGTTACAGGGCAGGGAGAGGGGCAAACCTGCCTGCTCCAAATAGGTTCTGCCATCCACCGCATCAACACAAAACATATAAGACTTTAATGGAAAGGAACTTTAATATAATTAATAAACAATACAGGAAAGACAAAGAATATTGTTTCTAAATCAAGCACCCAAAGTTACCCATCCCCTCATGGGTAAAAGTCCACCCAAATGGGATTGGCCCAGAGCAAGGCCCAAAGGCCTGCCAAAAGTCTAAAGCATCTTTCAGTGGGGAACCACAGAAAAGACCAGAAACAACCGGACAAGTCTGGAAGGAAAGGAGCAAAATCAAAATGAAGATAAAAACTGCCATTAACAGCTCCCCACGCGTCTCTCATCCACATCTGTTTCACCCAGTCCACGACCAAAAGGCAAGCGCAGTTTCTTCATGTGCCTCCTCCAGGTCTCCTTCTGGCTCTCCATCCTGCTTCCTTTCTTCCTCAATCCCTTCTGCAGCTTCTTCTCTCTTAGCTCATCTTCACCTTCCTTTGGGTGGGGCAGGAAACCTGGAACCTCCCCCTTTCCTGGGGACCACCCTGTTATAATTGGTTATGGCGGAGGGGTGCATATGGGGGAACTGGTGGGTTTTGTTTGTTTCTTTGTTCCTAAGTAAACTATGAGCTCCTAAGAGCAGGGAGAAAAAAATTTCTATTATTTTTATTCTCTATCCTTTGACTAGATATAGTGGGTTGGCCCAATTATTAGAAGTCAGAAGAAACCTATCTCCCCAAGTGGGGAGGAATGTAAAAATCATAGGTAAGTACAATGTTGAGAAATGAGATGGAAGTAGTCTAGTAAGTGATGGAGGACAAGAATAGAAAAAAAAAAACTGAAAAGGAGGTGCCACAAGACCAGAAATCTGACTCACACAAGGAGGTGGGGGTAGAAGAGATTAGCATAGCCGTTGACACAGCTTTGGAAACCAAGATCCTTAGGCATGCAAACAACACAGTTATGGAAACTAAGATCCTTATGCAAAGATGACACAGTTGTGGAAACTAGTATCCTTACATGCAGACTATGATCCTTAGGCACTGACGCCTAGATTACAAAGCAGAACATCCAAGCAGGTATCTGAGGGCAAGGGGAGGGCCCATCCAAAGGTAAAGATACGGAGATTGAGCCCATTGTAGAATCTCAGGTCCCTTTCAAATTCTACATAGTTATCCAACCTTAGCAACCAACTGATGACTCACAAGGAGTGAGCCCCTCCCAAACAGAAAAAGACTGTATCAGATGTGCAGTCTCTGCACAGGCTCAGAGCAGCACTCCATCTGCCCACCTGTGCCTATGCAGGTGCCTCTTTTCACCAAATCTCTCCCTCTACAGGGCAGCAGCTTCCTCCCTGCCCGTGACCTGTACTTGCCAGGACTTCTCTTCACTGACCTCCCTCAGTAGAGGCAGCTCTCCTCAAGGCTGCCCGCCTGCAACCATGCAGGCCTCTCTTAGCAAACCTGTCCCTTTCGGGGCAGTTCTTCCTGCCCGCTTGTGTCTATGCAAGTGCCTTTTACTCTTCTGTCCCTTCACCAAATAAACCTGTTCTTTAAATATAACTAACGTCTCTGTCTCGTGGCAAAACTCGCCTGGGAAACTTGCCACATGTCGCTGAAACGGGAGCTCTAGGTGAAACCTTTCCCAGAGTGAACCCAAGGACCCCCGCACTCCAAACCCAATGACTCCAAAAACGACAACAGTAAGCAAAGCATTAATGGTTAAAACCAAAGATGAAAAATAAGTCAAGAATAAGCAGGTCAACCATCCTTGACAAACTCAGAGGATGGGCGCTGTAATCACAGCTGGCTCTGTGGCACATGCCACAGCCGGATGCAGGGAAGGCTCCAACATAAAGTTAGAAATACAAAAAGCTAATAAATATATGCTGTCTAATAATTAAGGGAGTGAAAACAAAAACAATGAAATACCATTTTTATTCTGTTTTTCTGACAAAAATAAAAAATCGTAACAATAATCCCCAGTGTTATTTAAATTACAGGGAAAGAAATGGTCATTCTCCACGGTCATTTTTTCTTTTTAAAAATTAATTTATATATACATTTTAATATATATAATTTTATATATAATTTTATATATTTATATTTATTTTTTATTTTATATATTTAATTTATATATAGTTTAATAATATATATTAATATATATTTTTACATCATTTTTCATTTTTTTACTGATGTATTTATTACCTTGTGAGAGTGTATACATTTATTCCAGTGGAGCCAAGGCCCCACAAACAAAGTCTGACTTTGAATCTGGAGCATCTAGAGGATCCGGAGTGAATGAGATCATCTGGGTTTGCCCTGCTGCTCCAGGTCAGAGTGACAGCATAACCTCAGTGTATATACCCCTAAGTCACCAATACCTGTTCCCACACCAAGCCCGTACCAGGAACAATAACTTCCTCAATTGAAAAAGGGTCAGGGCTAGGTACCATACAGTACTGGAGGCACTTATTTCCCCAGTTTTAAGGGACTGGGGAACTAGCAGGATGAGGCCAGAGTGAGAGTAGTCAGGCATGTTTTTCCACCACTGAAAAGCCTCTGAAGCACCTTTCCTTCCTGAGTTCTGTTATTGGACAGGCAAAATGAATAATACCCAATAATTAAAACAAAAAAATAAAAAAAACACCTAACATCCCTGAATCAGCTGTGTTCAATATTTTAACAACATCCTACAGTCACATTTAGCTGGGCAAGCTAGGTCCCCAGGTATGAGGCCTCCTCCCAGTTCTCAGATACACTTCTCCACCTTAGCCCGCAGGTTGTGCTGTGTAAGTAGTACAACTTCCTCTGAGTCAGGGCTCTGTAGTCCCACTTTTTTAGTGGGAAGTTCATATTTCATTTATGTCTGGCACTTACCTTAATTAGAATATTTAAAGAGGTTTTGTAAGGCTTAAAATCTGAGAAGAGTGTAACAATACGAAATTTCACTTCTTGCTTTGGCTTGTACAGGGACTTGTCTGTTTGAATAAAAACAGATATTCTCTTGGTCTCAAATGTTAAGAGAGTAGTATTAGAGAATAAAATCCCATCCTCAGTACGTCCAGTGACACGTAGCTCATACATCTCATCTGAACTGTTCAAGGGTATCTGGAAAAAGAGAGAGATCAGTCTCATATCAAAGTCTCATATTTTACCTCAAAAATGTTTTATTTATAAGTTAGAATGGGAAACTTTTTAAAAAGCATTGTCAACAGTAATTGCAGTGTTGAAAAACTGGCCACTCCCAGGCACCAAAGTAAAACAATCTGTGTTCTCTCTTTTAACATCCTATAGTGTATTCTCCAATTAAATCACGGGTTCCTGGGATACAGACACGCTCTCAGCAGCCGTCAGCTTGTCCTCTCCTATCGCAAGTTCAAATTCTTTCTCACTAACAGTCCCTGTGGGTCAACATATCTAATATCCTTCAAAATACTTTTCCATGCCTCACCCTGAGGCAGTCAATCAGTGAAAAACACATTTTTGGACAAATTTGTTTTCTTAATATGCTCTCTAAAATTCCTCTCTATAACACTCTTTTCCTGTGTCTTCTCATCACGTCGAAGCCCTGGTAAGGGTGAAGGCACTGGTACTTCTATTACTAATAGAATTCCTACCTTCTAGCATTAACAGACTGAAAACTACACTCAGCAGTTTGCATGAACTGTGATTTTACCTTAAAACAGCCCATAAGGTGAGAGTTCCTATTAAGCCCATTTTACAAACAAGGAAACTGGAGTTCAGGAAGTATATCCAGGGTAAAGGAACTGCCCCACAGTGAATGCCCAGCCCTAATGAAGCCTTCAGAGGACTGCAGCTCTGGTGGGCATCCTGATTGCAGCCTCCTAAGACCCCAAACTTTACCACCCAACGATGTGCATCCTAAATTCCTAACCCACTGAAAACTGGAAATAATAAAAATATATTGCTTAATGCCAAAGTTCTGGGATAACAGATTACACAGCAATAGATAACTTGCACAGCTTTTAGTTGACTTTCATATTAATAAAGCTAAGGTTCTGAAACTATATTCTCACTCCTTTTGCAAATAAGGTTTGTCCACAGAAAGCTGAGAGGGGATTTTCCAGTAATAGCCCGCACAAAGTTAGCAACGTGAATAAGAATATGAAGGAAATGTAACAAACCTCCAACAAAATGGTCTGCAGGAAACAGGAAATATTTAGGGAGAAAAGTATTATCTGCAATTTACTTGGACATGTATTTTAAAAATAGGATGGGTTAGGGGATGGACAGAGAGCTGGGTACATGGATAGATTATAGTAAAGCAAGTATCATAAAATGTCAATAGTAGATATCAAGTGCTGGGTATAGGAGTGTTCACTATGAAATTCTTTGAAGTTTTTTCATATATTTGAAATTTTTTACATTGTGTATTTTTAAAATTTTATATATTTTCAAATTTAATAAAAGGTTAGGAAAAACAATAACATCAACTTCAAATCACCTGAGTACTGATTTTTGCTTTTCTTCAATAAATAAATATTTATTTATTGAACTAACTCCAGGTGTTCTAGGTGCTTGTGAGTCAACATGAACCAAGGATGTGTGCCCTACTGGGATCACACTTGCATTCTTATATTCTATTCTCTCAAGTGATACTGTTGCCCACCACTTGCTGGTGGACAATAAATGGATTTCTTATTCTAGCCTGGACTGTCTGAAGTCATCTCACTTTCTTTAAAAAGTTTTCTTGAGGCTTCCCTGGTGGCACAGGTGGTTAAGGGCTGTGCTGAGAAGCTATCCGCAGCCTCTGCAGTGCCTTTTCAATCCCCGCCAGCCGTGGAGCAACCCACATAGCATGGCAGCCCTCTCCTGTCTCACCCACTGCTCCCCTCAGCAGTGTATTTCAGTCAGTCTGCCTGTTCTGTTCCCCACTCTGTCTCTGGTGAATCCTCTCACCCTCCCACACATCTGGCCTGTACACCGGTTCTTGTATAAATAAATAAATCTTTAAAAAATAAATAAATAAAAGGTTTTCTTAAGAAGATTGAAAAAGGGGCTTCCCTGGTGGCACAAGGGGTTAAGACACAGACTATGAAGCTATCCGCAGCCTCTGCAGCATGAGTTCAGATCCTTAGCCAGGGAGCTACCCACATGGTGCAGCAGATCTCTCCTGACTCGCCCACTGCTCCCCTCAGCAGTGTATTTCCATCGATCTGCCTGTTCTGTTCCCCATTCTGTCTCTGGTGAATCCTCTCACGCCCCACACCTCTGGCTTGTATCCCAGTTCTTGTATGCATAAATAAATAAATCTTTAAAAAAAAACTGTATTAGTGATTACAGTGAAAACAAACTTTTAAAATATATAAAAAAGATCAGAAACAAAAAGTGTTGACAATGGTGTGAAGAATAGGGAACTCTCATGCACTGTTGGTGGGGCTGCAGACTAGCGCAGTCCCTATGGAAAGCACTAAGGAGGCAGCTCAAAAGATTAAAAATGGATCAGCCATGTAACCCAGTAATGCCATTCCTAGACAACTACCAGAAAAATTCGAAAATACAAATTCACAAGGAAACTTGCACTCCCATATTTATTGTAATAATATTTACAATAGCTAAGCTGTGGAAACAACCCAAGTGCCCAAAACAAACAAGTAGAACAAGAAGATATGATATATATACACGATGGAATATTATGCAGTGATCAAAAGAGATAAACTTATGTCATTTGTGGCAACACAGATGGAGCTCAAATGGGATAATGCTAAGTGAAATAAGTGAGAAGGAGAAAGATAAATAATGGATAGTGCCACTAATATGTAGAATATAGAGACACCAAAGTAAGGGTTAAATAAAGACAAGCTTAAAAACTAATCTTTGAAAGCTGACTACAGAACTGAGGTATCTAGAGGGGGAGGGGGGAAGAACAAAGAGGCAAGGAAACACAATGGACTATGGTGGTAGACTATGGATGATTTTTTGGTGGTAGGGACACTAAGGCAGCAATGCCTGAGGGAGAAGGGAGGACCTTATACTTCCAAAATGCCAAGAATAATGTAAGCCAACTTTACTTTAATAAAAATAAATAGAATTTTATTTATTTTTTCTTTAAAGATTTATTTATTTATTTATACAAGCACTGGGTATAGTCAGAAGTGCAGGAGGGTGAGAGAATTCACCAGAGCCAGAGGGGACAGCAGAGCAGGCAGACTGACGGAGTACACTGCTGAGGGGAGTAGTGGGCGACAGGAGAGGTCTGCGCGCCATGTGGGACCCTCGCCCGGCAGTCGGGGATCAAACTGGCACTGCAGAGGCTGTGGGCAGCTTCGCAACCCAGCGCTCAACTGCTGCGCCACCGGGGACGCCCCTAAATAAAATTTTAAAAAATAAAATAAGAAATTGTATTTATGTAAAAAAAAAAAAACCCTCCCTTTTAAATTGGATATATTTACAAAGAGAACAAAATAAATATTTTCTAGCATATTTTGTATAAAACATAATCTTTATACTAAGAATCAAAGTATGTTTTTAATTAACATCCTTTACAAGACTGATTTTAGAAACAATGATCTAATCAGCTATTAAAAACACATTTATTTTAATGCAATCCTAGAAAATTCATATTTTGAAGAAAAAATTCATGAGGGCCTTAAAAAAATAAGAATGTAAATGTACTTTGAAAGTTGTGTCTATTTTAATTGAAAACTCATAAAAATGCAGAACCTTCTATTTGTGCCAAGCATCATCAAAGTTTCCCACTTTATGACTAAGTCTTTAAAATTCTGTTTTCTTAAAAAGGGATATACTTTTCTTTAGTAAAGTTTTCAATAAATAATTGCTATATCTAATACAATAGTATAATATTTAAAAAGACATTAGCGTTTCATATAGTAAAGACTTCAGAAAATTATTGCGGCCAAATTTCTACCTAGTGATAGCTCAACTGAGTAGTTTACACTGCCATTGTTGCAATTAACATGCCTAAATGCCTTCTCCTTTCAACCTTTGTATACTTCTGGCCTATGTAACTGCAGACTTCATCTATTGTGGTTAAAGCTAAGATTAAATCCCTTCCCATTCTTCAATAGGTCAAGTACATTATACAGAATTTATTTCAGTCTTATCAATGGAATATTCTTTCAACAAAGATATAAACACACAGGCACTAACCTGCATCTAACGTTTTAGGTTTTATTTATGCAATCTAATATTTTATTATCACTTAGATTGGGGCCTTCCCCCCACTTCCACCTGCTATACCTCTTTTCCCTCAACCTTTCTGCTTAACAATAGAAAAAGCAGAATATTTCTTAGTAGGTAAAAAATATAATAGCTATGGAATATAAGCAATTTTTATAAAGCACTATTTGGAGCAATTCTCTAGGAAGGCTCCAAGGTGAATGTGCTTGCTTTCTTCACAAATAACCTTCAAAAGTTAATGGCTCACCAGGTAATGCTAATCCTATACAAATTATGTAATGTATCAGAGTCAAAGTCATTAAGTCATCTATTCTCAGAAATAAATGAATGTTGAGGTCTATTATGGTGCACATTAAACACATGAAGCCCAGAAACAAAACATTAAATAATAAAAGGACAAACTTCCAGATCAAAGCTATGAGAAGTAGGATTAGTTCATCACACAAATAACATTTAGTCATCAGATTTTATGACTCACTCAATAAAATAATAACAGCAATTTTAAAGCACTTTCACATCTCATTTCGCCTCCAAGGTATCCCCTCTGAAATAGAGACAGTATCTTTATCCCCTTTTTCAAGCCAGGAACTAGAGTGAGTTGAGTAAAGCACTTGCCTCTGCTACAAAATGACAGGGAGTACAAACAGTATTTTTAATATTTATATCAAAAGTAATGCAAATATTAAATTATGAACAAAAAAATCAAAATTTTAAACCAAGACAGAATCAGCATCACTGATGTTTCTTTTTGTTTCTGTTTCAGGCTCCAACAAGACTCAGCATGGCACTGCCCTTTTCCAAAAGGAGGAAACTGAGGGACAGTGTTAATTACAGAGTCTGTAAGGCCCATGAATGCAGAAACAGGGTCAAAACAGCCCAAGTTACTGTGCTAATAGTCCAGGCCAGTTTTCCTCACTGAGAGTTCTCTATTTTACAGGAGAAAAATCTCGGCTGTGAATTTGAAGACCTAACAGTCAATCTTCTTGAAGGAATATTATTCTTAAATAATCCTGAAGTGGAACTCAAGGCAAACTCGCAAGGAATATAAGTTGATGAAAGCCAATAAAAGATTAATTTATTTAATTCACTTATGTGCTATATATTTCTGAAGCCAAAATTTTTAAACAGGTACTTACTGATGGAAGAGTCAGTGTCTTGAAGGAACCTAAAATGAAAGCAGGAAAGAAAACAGAATCATAATTTGATTTTTTTTCAACCCCACAAGAATCATAATTTTAATATAATATAATACAGTACTGGCAAGCAACTCCTGACACTCTTTAGATGGAGGAGGAAGCACAAACGCACAGAATCAAAAACTAAAGATTGTTTATGTTATATTAAGTTTATGTTACCCTTATGAATGTCAGACCAAAATAATTTTATTCATGCCCAGAAAAACCTGAGAGATTATTGCATAGTCTTGTGCCAAAGAATTAAGGAAAGCTGGGTCTGACTTAAAAGGTTGTCAGTGGATGAGTCACCCCCCAAAAAATTTTAACTTCTACTTCTTTTTCCATTGTCATTTTTGTTGCCACTAACTTGTTGCTGTGTTCGTTGCTATTCTAAGGCTATACATGTTTTAATGTAAGGTTTATTCCTTATGTTCTCATACCTTCATGATAAAGGAAGAAAAGAAAGGCATTAGTCATGTCAGGGGTGAGCTGGGACTCATAACTGACTCATTAGGGTTAGAATGATGTACTCTTTTCATATAAAGTTTCTAAACATGGGGCTGCTAGTTTCACTCATGCTAATTTCTCATCGGCTCCATTTATTTACAGGGGAAATTTTTTTCAAGTAAAAAAAAAACAGGGAATACTTATCCAAAATTCCCTTTTAAGTGACACAAATTCAAAGGTGATGGTAGGCTGCCAATTCTATCTCTTATTTAAGATATGCATTAAGGACATAATTAACAGGAAAGACATGGTCCCTCTCCTACAGAAGGTCACAAAGGATCTATCCCATGGGAAGAGCCAGGCACCAGAGCACAGCACAGAACAGGATTAAGCAAGTGGCCTCAGGAATCAGACCATATTCTATCCTGAATCAGCCACATAGCAGCACCATCCTTGAACAAGTTAGCTGACTCTCCAGGCTCAATTTATAAAGTGAGAGTGTTAATAATCATACCAACCTCATACTATAGTTGTGAGGAATAAGTATGCTAAGGCCTATTACATCTACAGCACAGTGCCTAGCACATAGGAAACACTAGATGAAGCAAATCACTACAGTGCCAGGAAGCCTGATGAGTTACTCACTGGAGATATCAGCATACCTCTGGAGCAGTGCCCTTCAAATTGTTATAACGGAGCATGCAATAAAAATATTTAGTACAGGGCCTCCCCGGTGGCACAACAGTTGAGCACTGGATTGTGAAGCAGCTCACAGCCTCTGCAGCGCCGGTTTGATCCACCGCCACCAGGCGAGGGTCCAACATGGTGCACAGACCTCGCCTGCTGCCCACTGCTCCCCTTAGCAGTGTACTTCATCAGTCTGCCTGTTCTGCTCCCCGTTTTGGCTCTGGTGAATTCTTTCACCCTCCCGTGCTTCTGACTGTACCCAGTGCTTGTATAAATAAATAAATAAATCTTTAAAAAAAAATTTAGTGCACATCATCAATGTCAGCTTAGATTTATAAAATTATTTATATGTACTTTCTAAATGAAAATATTGATTAGAAAATCTCAATTTCCTGGTTATGTTTTATGAAATAATAGAAATAAAAATTGGTACATTTTCTACCTACACACTTTAAATGATCTTACACCCCCACTGTGAAGACCAGTGTCCCAATGGGCCTCATAAAATACAAATGTCTTGAGAAACACACAAGGAGCTCATCAAAATCACTGATCACCTAACAGAGATCAGTTTATCCAATAGCTGTCATCATGAGAAGCAAAGAGCAGATCTCTTTAATAGGACATTGGACAAAAAGCAGCTTATTATAAAGGTGAAGGAATAATAACTGAACAAGAACTGCAACAAAGGTAAAAGGGGAAGACACCCAAAGATAACGATGCCAAGATTGCGGGTAAGGGGTAATCAGCCAGCTGAGGAAGGGAGGGGAAGAGTTTCTAGGCAGAGTAGAGGCAAAGACAAAGGAGTTAAGGTCCACATGTGTCTATTAAAGTAAAGAATTCAGTAACATAAGACTCTGGGCAGAGAGAATATAATAGAGATGAAGACCCAGGCATGGAAAATTGGACTGCCATATGCCAAAGAATGAAACTAGACTACTATCTCATACCACGCATGAAAATCTACTCCATATGGATAAGACTTGGACATAAGACCTGAAACCATAAGATACATAGAAGAAGATGTAGGCAAAACACTCAAAGACATAAATTTCAGAAACATCTCCAGGAGAAAAAAAAAAAAAAGGAGAATATAAACAACTGGGATTATATCAAACTTAAAAGCTTCTATACAGCAAGCGACAGTAATCAAAATGAAGTGACACCCTACAGAATGGGAGAAAACACTTGCACACCATACATCAGATAAGCAACTGATATCACAGATCTACAGAGAACTCATACAACTTAACAAAAACAAACAGATAATCCAATCAAAAATGGTCAGAAGAGGCCAGCAGACCAAACCCAGAGGGGGAGCTGGCACCCAGGGCCGGGGCAGACGGGGCGCGGAAGAGAGTGCCTGTCTCCAAAGTGCCATTTTAGAACAGGGACCTTTCTTCAATAAAGGCTGCTTGAATCTGGCAGAAGGCTCCCCGTTGAGCCAGAGAGAGAAGGTTCTCTGCGCAGTCAGAGGTGAGCTGAAGGCCCCCACAAACCCAGTCCCACCTGGCAGGAAGTCGGAGCCCAGAGGAGGCTCCAGAGATTTGGAACCCAGAGTGCAGTCCAGCTGTCCCACCTCTAGGGAAGTCTGTGGGACTTCAAGATGCACCTTTGTAACTAAACACAGAAGAAGGAGAGATTCTGTGACAGTGACCATTAATATACTCAAAATACCACTGCCTCACTAGACTTCTGGCATAAGTTTTTGACTCGTTTGGATTGCCAGTTTCTGAAACTCCTGAAAGAACACACCAAAAAGATGCCAGCCAGTACCAGCGGCACAGTGTCCCAACGCATAAGGCAAATTAGAAGACAGGCAGCAGGGAAAAAAAAAACTACGTCTCAGAAAAAAGACATACCACCAAAAAAAAAAACCACCCACCAGCTTGCAACTACGGTGACTTGGAAGAACTTCTGAGCCTTCCAGAAAAAGAATTTAAAATTGCCGTGATGAAAAAACTGATGGGGAAGTCATTAAGGAAAACAACGCTCAGAAGAATGAAATTGAGTCCCTAAGGAGGGAAATGAAGGAAATGCAAGAGATCAAAGGAGTAACAGAAGAGCTAAAGAATGCTGGGGAAAGCAGTGATAACAGATTAGAGGAAATGGAAGAACTAATAAGCACTCTCGAAGACACAGAAATAAAAAGAACCAAAACAGAAAAGGAAAGAGAAGTACGAAGGAAAAAGAACGAAGAAAGACTTCGGGAACTATCTGACTCCATGAGGAAAGGAAATATAAGAGTTATAGGAATCCCAGAAGGAGAGGAGAGAGACCTAGGAACAGAGAAAATATTCAAGGATATAATTGAAGAGAACTTCCCAAACATAAGAAGGAGCTGAAAATTGATATACAAGAAGCAAGAACACCAAATTTCCATGATGAAAGGAAAAATACAGCAAGACGCATAATAGTAAAGCTCCCAAGAATCCAAGACAAGGAAAAAATAATGAAGCTGACAAGAGAGAGGAAATAGATAACATACAAAGGAAAACCAATCAGACTGACATCAGACTTCTCCAAAGAAACACTATGGACAAGGAGAGAGTAGAGGGACATAGTCAACAGACTTCAAGACAACAGATGTCAACCAAGAATATTCTATCCTGCAAAGCTTTCCATCCTCTATGAAGAAAGAATAAGGACCTTCCCAGACAAACAGAAACCATGGAATTTCATTACAACTAAACCCCCACGCCAAAAAACAGTACAAGGAGTGCTAAAGCCAGAACATCAGAGGTACGAATAACAATGAAAGAAGGCCAAAAAAAAAAAGTTATTAAAAGAATAAATAAATAAAATCAAAGGAAAGACAAACACAATGGCAAATACAAATGCTAACAGATCAATATTAACTCTAAATGTAAATGGACTAAACTCTTCAATAAAAAGATACAGAGTCGCAGGCTGGATTAAGAAACAAAACCCAACCTTATGTTGTCTCCAGGAAACACATTTGCTACAAAAGATAAAAATAGACTCAAAGTTAAAGGATGGAAAACAATCCTACAAGCAAATGGACCAAAAAAGAGAGCAGGAACAGCGATACTTATATCAGATAAAACAGATTTCAAACTCAAAAAGGTAAAAAGAGACCCCAACGGTCACTACATTATGATCAAGGGGACAATACTTCAAGAAGAAATAACACTCATTAACATATACTCACCAAACGAAGGAGCACCAAAATATATCAGACAACTATTGTCATCTTTGTAAATAGACATCAGAGAAAACACATACATAGTAGGAGACTTCAACACACCACTATCAACAATGGATAGATCAACGAGACAAAAAATAAGTAAAGATACTAAAGCTCTAAATAAGGATCTAGAGTGTTTGGGCTTAACAGACATCTATAGAACACTAAACCCAAAAAAATCTGAGTACACATTTTTCTCAAGCACACACGGATCATTCTCCAGGATCGATCACATACTGGGACACAAGACAAACATCAACAGATACACCAAGATTGAAATCATACCAACCATCTTTTCTGACCATGAAGGCATCAAACTAGAAATAAACCATAAAAAGAAGGCAAGGAAATCTCCTACCTCATGGAGATTGAAACCCACACTACTGGAAGTCCACCGGACTAACGAGGAGATAAAAGAAGAAATAAAAAAATTCTTTGAATTGAATGACAAGGAGGACACCAATTTCCTAAATGTATGGGATGCAACAAAAGCAGTAATAAGAGGAAAATATATAGCAATAGAGGCTCACATCAACAAACAAGAAAGAACTCAAAGAAACAACCTAATCTTGAAGCTCAAAGAACTAGAAAAAGAACAATAAAAAAAAATCCAAAACCAGTAGAAGAAAAGAAATAATAAAAACCAAA